CTCCACTCTTACCTCCCCTGCCTCTGGGCACTAAATAATTATGTCCTGGAAAAGAGAGGGTACTGGGAAATCATTAGAAGGGACAAGACCATCTGGTTGAGGTGGGGAGTGGGATTGAGTCCAGATTGCAACATTGGGGGCTCCTCTGCTTGTCTTCCCCCAAACTCTTCAGGAGTGGCACTAGTTCCCAACCCTTTCCCCAGCTATTCTCTACAAGCCCAGTTAGATGAAAATGTTAAGGGCATAAGAATGAGTCCATAAGTAAAGATAATAAGATGTAGGAGTCCAGGCATTGTGAAAGAACAACAGCAAGCTCAGCAAATGTAAATGTGAGAAGGAGCAGGACAAGAAATTAAAATGAGCACGGTAAATAGTCTCAGGTAAGGAAAGGTATTGGGAGGCCAGAAGCAAAAACAAGCAGTTACAGAAAAATTGGAGACATTAGGAAAATCAAACATTCTTGAATTAAAAGTTTCCATGGTTGGGCTGGACAACAAACTGGGTATATCTAAATAACAAGGATGTGAGAGCAATGGGTCAGGAAATTAACTCTTTCACCAGGAAAGGGTAAAGAGATGCAAAGAATGACAATTTCAGAGGCATGGAGGACAGAAGGAAAAGGGCCAGTATCTGCATAAGGGAATCCCAAGACAGTGAAATTTGCAAACTGAAGGAAGAAAGTGCTGAAGAAATAACTGCAACTTTAGTTCTGCTTTTTTTAAACTGACTGCTGAATTCATTATTTCAGCATTTATGCTGTGCCAACTCTATGCAATGCATAAAGCAAGGTTCCTGTGTTGTCCTGAAGCTTAAATTTTAGTCAGCTACACGCAGACAATAAGTAACTAAACAAAACAGTACTGAGTAGTGACAGGTGCTATACTGACAATAAAACTAGGTGGTGTGACACAGGGTTTTGGGGCAGGAAGGGCCCATTTAAGTTGGTGCTCAGGGAAGTCTCTGAAGAGGTGGAATTTAAGCTGAGGCTTAAATGCCAAGAAGGACCCAGCTGTGTGAAGACAGGTGTCAGGAGCATCCTGGGTGGAGGGAATGAGCTTGACGTGTTCAAAGTGCAGAAGGAAGATAGTATAGCAGGATCTTGGAGATCCAGGATGGGTGGAGCCAGACAAGGCTGAAAGCGTAACCAGAAATCAGATCATGTAGAACTGTGTAAACTATGGTAAAGATGGGAGTGGGTTAATGAAAAAAACTGAATTATAGCATCAGTATAAAGCAATGTGTTTTTATTATCTTCAATTATATTAGACTAAGCAATAGGAAATGGACAATATTCAACTCTCTTTGACCTTCACAAACAGAACTTGCCTAGTTCACACTAAGCAAGTACGCGTCCAAGGACCCTGGCCTTTTTAAAGGATGTTTGCATGATCCCGTCATCTATTATTAACACCTGAATTTCTCATGTGAAAAAGAGGAGGTAAGTGTTAAAAAAAGAAACTAAAAGTTTGTGTTTGGTGGTAAAACAGATATCTTGTTTGCATTCACAATAGGATCCATTTTGATATATTTTCACTCAGATTTGACAGATATTTTCAGGCCTTACCATGTGCCAGCTGTGGCTTGTTCACTACCAGGACTGCAAAGATGAGTAAGTCATGGGCCCTGCTACAGCAGGTCATGGGTGACCGTAGATCACTGCCAAGATAAACTTGGTATTCCCAGGTTCCCTTGGGAATACTAGTGGGGCAGGTCATACCAGGTAGATGTTACTGAATCTTAATAAAAGAGGCATCCAGAAAGGAAGCGAGCATTTGTTACTGACATGATTTCTCACTGCGGTTGGTGAATAAAACTATGGAAGAGATGGCTACTGGGCTCCCTGAGAGACTAAAGTTTAGAGGAAGAGAACACCCAGTGTTCTACCAAAAATTTAGAATCCATGGACCAAAATACCTAAATAGATAGAGGTGTGATTTTTTTTTTCCTTTGGGGGGCTATTCTAGCTTGCTTCCTAGTTTTCCCTTTTTCTAGGGCTTGGAGGAGAGATGTCAAATAATGGTTTAGCCAAAGAAACCCCGCTTTGTCCAGGGAGGGAACTTGGAGCATGATCAAGGACAGCTCTACCAGAAACAGGGCAGTGGTCATGATGTGAAATCCAAGTACCTTTTACTGTAACTGTTTCACTTTCCTCATTAAAGACTCCAACATTTCTCCCACAAGTTCTCCAATGAGGCATTTGATTCCACTGTCACAAGTTCTGGTCATGACTGACTCTGTGGCCTCCTGCAAGGTGCACTGTATCTCTGGGCCTCCCTGCTCTTACCTTCAATCTCATGGTGTGATGAGGTTAACCCTGTTAGCTCTAAAATGTGATGCCTGCAGTATACAGAAGACTCATTGAGTATCTAGCACAATATTACCATTTCGTGGAGTATGGTATTCTAATAATACTAAGGCCAACCCTTGAATTTTGATTTATAAACTCTAGACCTTGGGTTTTACAGCAAAAGGAGTAAGTTGCTATAATTGTCCAGCTTATGGACAAATAGGGTTCTCTTAGCTGTCCACGTCTGGGAAAGGGAGCTGGTTGGCAGAAAGGGAGCAAACAGAACTAAGGCCACACATTCTTATATGCAAATGAGCGGCAAATGCGTCACATCCCGCAATCTTTCTTCTTTTGTTAATAAATTCAGGCCCAGTCATTAAGAGGTGGTCACCTCACAAGATTTTCCATGCTGGAGGTGGAAGGAATCACTGGAACATTTATATTCTAGCTCCTGTGGTAAACCTTCCCTCCCAGCCCTTGAGCCAGTGAGTCACTTCCTCTGTTCAAGCCTCCACAGCTTCCTCTCTTTCCCAGCCCTGGCCTGGCCCTCTGGAGAGGAGTCTGGGCTGTTGGGTAGAAAGAGAGGCAACATATATCCTTCAGGCAGCCAACATACCTTGGATTACTTTGAAATATCAGAGAAGGATCCTCCACATGGGAGAAAGTATGTGGTCTGGTAAGTGCCAAGTGCTGGGTTCCAGATTCCGCATTTTTCCTTTTATTTTAAACAGCTCTAGGAAAGGAACACCCATAGAAGGTAGAGTGGGTTGAAGGTTTGTTTTATGACTCATGGAAATTTCTAAAATGATAAATATTGGCTCAGCAGTAGCCTGACCTATGAAACACTCAGCTAAACCCAACTCTATGGTTACAAGAAACAAGAAGAGAGTATTCAACAAATAAACTATGAGTCCACTTCCAAGCTTTCAGAAAGAAAAAGCAGAAAGCATTGCCTGGATTCTGTGAGGTGGCCTTCCTGGCCCACCACGATTTCATTTGTTTTTCCTGAGGCCAGAAACTCCTGAGATTAAGTATTCTGGCCAGGAAGCCATGTCAAACGCTTTGGTTTTATACTTTATTTAGTCCAGAATCTTTTTGGCTACTACAGTGAAAATACTTTACCAGCCATAAAAATTAATGAGGGTAAATTTGGAAATATTTTTCCCCCAGAAAGAGAAAAAGATAAATATTTCCCTTCCAAAGTGAAAATACCTCCATCTATCTGTGTAGAAGAAACGAGGCATTCTGAAGAAATGTTAGTAATCGAGGATATCTCCTCATTTCAGAGAACACTAGAAAGTATGAGCCACAAATAATGTTTGTGCTCCTGCTGAGTAGTTTTTATTTCTCATGAAATAGCATTACCTTAACTTTCCATCAGCTGATTTTATTTTCTAAAGAAAATATACTGATATTCATACCCAATCAAAAGGCTAGTGTAATAACTTACCAAAACCTAGTAATGAGCAGCTCGAATCTGCCTTTCAGCTGGTTTATCCTGTATAACTGGCAGGTTTATTAACAGAGCAGTATTACTTACTGTAGTGTTCATTAGAATTGGCTATCCCAAAACACACACACACACACACACACACACACACACACACACACACACACACTTCACAGTCTGGAATCATGATACATACATCGTGGGGAGCATCAATAAAGTAAGGGAAGACTCAGGCCATGATATAGTGATGACTGTCATTGATAGATATTATTATGAGTCCTATTCTACAGATGAGGAAGGGTTAAGAGATGTTCCTTAGGAGCTCAGAGGACTAGGCGATCTGCTCTCAGGCCAGTGACCTTTACTGTCACCCTACCTGGCACCTCACTCATGGATGATGCCTAACAGAAATGAGCTGCCTGTTGTTTCTGTAATACCACCAGTGAGGGGGGGGCAGGACTAATACAAAATGAAGCAAATGGAAACTGTTGAGAATACATTCTGGACATTCCTTTACCATAGCCTGGTTCCTGATGGATTGGGCAGCCCTAGGGGCCGGGCATCTGTTTTAAGAAAGAACTAAATATATGTAAGTATATTCATGGGAATGATGCAGTACCACATGGTAATGCTAATGATTTCTCTATTAGTCCTTATGATAGGGTGAAAGTCATATACCACTGAAAATTGAACTATGATAGGTATTTTTCAGGTAACAGTGTAATACTTGAGTTAAACCATGAGAAAATGGAGTAGAAAGTGGTACAACAATCTGGACCAATGGTTATTCACTCCTCTTGGGCCATATGTTCCCTTTGATATTCTGATGATAAGTATTGAACTCTCTAGAAAGTAGACATTTGCTCCTACTCACAAAGCTTGGCCTATATTTTCAGGGAGCTTATGGGCCGCCCTGAAGCCTATCCATTAAATTGGTTATTTCAGGAAAGGTTTTGGGAAATGTCCTAAAAAGGAAACTCAAGGTAGGAGGAATGAATGAATAGTTCCATATGCCAAGACTGGAGTTGGTATCATACGGGTTATCAGTTTAGCATGAAATCTTCCAGACCCTTACAGTGTAGAGCATTTTAAAAAATACAAAAGGTCTCAACAATGTATATGGGATTATGGCTTGTTTTTATTCAGTCATTCAGCAGTATTTCTTGGAGTTCTATCCCTACTGTCTTTCCATTTTTCAGAAGCACAGTACATTGTTTCCACAATTCTGATGGGATTGCTTGCTGTATTTCTGGAAAAAGAAAAAGGAGCCAAAAAAGATTTCAAAAAGGACAAATAAAGGAATCAAGTTCTTGATTCAAGGATTAACTAAATGACTTCAAAGTTTTCCAAATGTAAAGAAGTCCAAGGGTTGAGTGTGATCACACGGTAAAAAATCATGAAGGTTAGGAATGAACAGAAATTGTGCAGCACATTCTATCATGAAAGTAAGAGGGCTTCTCTGAAAGCTCAAAGAGTGTTATTTTAGGAAAAATAGGGGGACTATTTTACATGGTGGGTAAGGACAGGAGTGGAGTAAGGATGGAGGAGAAGGAAGGCATGCCACAGTGACAAGCTGAGAGTGGTGAGCTCTGTGATTGGGACTCATTTTTCCCCACCCCTTCCCATTATTCTCTGCAGATCTCTGTCCCACAGCTGCACTAGGGCAAGAAAACCTCATTACCAGCAAAGTGCCCACCACCAGCCCTATCTGGTAACGTCAGGGCAGTACTGGAGCCTTGATGGGGAGTGCAGAGAAATATTAACACATACTAGTAGGCTGCCCAAGCTCAGTAACTTTGCTCACTCCACTCTTACCTCCCCTGCCTCTGGGCACTAAATAATTATGTCCTGGAAAAGAGAGGGTACTGGGAAATCATTAGAAGGGACAAGACCATCTGGTTGAGGTGGGGAGTGGGATTGAGTCCAGATTGCAACATTGGGGGCTCCTCTGCTTGTCTTCCCCCAAACTCTTCAGGAGTGGCACTAGTTCCCAACCCTTTCCCCAGCTATTCTCTACAAGCCCAGTTAGATGAAAATGTTAAGGGCATAAGAATGAGTCCATAAGTAAAGATAATAAGATGTAGGAGTCCAGGCATTGTGAAAGAACAACAGCAAGCTCAGCAAATGTAAATGTGAGAAGGAGCAGGACAAGAAATTAAAATGAGCACGGTAAATAGTCTCAGGTAAGGAAAGGTATTGGGAGGCCAGAAGCAAAAACAAGCAGTTACAGAAAAATTGGAGACATTAGGAAAATCAAACATTCTTGAATTAAAAGTTTCCATGGTTGGGCTGGACAACAAACTGGGTATATCTAAATAACAAGGATGTGAGAGCAATGGGTCAGGAAATTAACTCTTTCACCAGGAAAGGGTAAAGAGATGCAAAGAATGACAATTTCAGAGGCATGGAGGACAGAAGGAAAAGGGCCAGTATCTGCATAAGGGAATCCCAAGACAGTGAAATTTGCAAACTGAAGGAAGAAAGTGCTGAAGAAATAACTGCAACTTTAGTTCTGCTTTTTTTAAACTGACTGCTGAATTCATTATTTCAGCATTTATGCTGTGCCAACTCTATGCAATGCATAAAGCAAGGTTCCTGTGTTGTCCTGAAGCTTAAATTTTAGTCAGCTACACGCAGACAATAAGTAACTAAACAAAACAGTACTGAGTAGTGACAGGTGCTATACTGACAATAAAACTAGGTGGTGTGACACAGGGTTTTGGGGCAGGAAGGGCCCATTTAAGTTGGTGCTCAGGGAAGTCTCTGAAGAGGTGGAATTTAAGCTGAGGCTTAAATGCCAAGAAGGACCCAGCTGTGTGAAGACAGGTGTCAGGAGCATCCTGGGTGGAGGGAATGAGCTTGACGTGTTCAAAGTGCAGAAGGAAGATAGTATAGCAGGATCTTGGAGATCCAGGATGGGTGGAGCCAGACAAGGCTGAAAGCGTAACCAGAAATCAGATCATGTAGAACTGTGTAAACTATGGTAAAGATGGGAGTGGGTTAATGAAAAAAACTGAATTATAGCATCAGTATAAAGCAATGTGTTTTTATTATCTTCAATTATATTAGACTAAGCAATAGGAAATGGACAATATTCAACTCTCTTTGACCTTCACAAACAGAACTTGCCTAGTTCACACTAAGCAAGTACGCGTCCAAGGACCCTGGCCTTTTTAAAGGATGTTTGCATGATCCCGTCATCTATTATTAACACCTGAATTTCTCATGTGAAAAAGAGGAGGTAAGTGTTAAAAAAAGAAACTAAAAGTTTGTGTTTGGTGGTAAAACAGATATCTTGTTTGCATTCACAATAGGATCCATTTTGATATATTTTCACTCAGATTTGACAGATATTTTCAGGCCTTACCATGTGCCAGCTGTGGCTTGTTCACTACCAGGACTGCAAAGATGAGTAAGTCATGGGCCCTGCTACAGCAGGTCATGGGTGACCGTAGATCACTGCCAAGATAAACTTGGTATTCCCAGGTTCCCTTGGGAATACTAGTGGGGCAGGTCATACCAGGTAGATGTTACTGAATCTTAATAAAAGAGGCATCCAGAAAGGAAGCGAGCATTTGTTACTGACATGATTTCTCACTGCGGTTGGTGAATAAAACTATGGAAGAGATGGCTACTGGGCTCCCTGAGAGACTAAAGTTTAGAGGAAGAGAACACCCAGTGTTCTACCAAAAATTTAGAATCCATGGACCAAAATACCTAAATAGATAGAGGTGTGATTTTTTTTTTCCTTTGGGGGGCTATTCTAGCTTGCTTCCTAGTTTTCCCTTTTTCTAGGGCTTGGAGGAGAGATGTCAAATAATGGTTTAGCCAAAGAAACCCCGCTTTGTCCAGGGAGGGAACTTGGAGCATGATCAAGGACAGCTCTACCAGAAACAGGGCAGTGGTCATGATGTGAAATCCAAGTACCTTTTACTGTAACTGTTTCACTTTCCTCATTAAAGACTCCAACATTTCTCCCACAAGTTCTCCAATGAGGCATTTGATTCCACTGTCACAAGTTCTGGTCATGACTGACTCTGTGGCCTCCTGCAAGGTGCACTGTATCTCTGGGCCTCCCTGCTCTTACCTTCAATCTCATGGTGTGATGAGGTTAACCCTGTTAGCTCTAAAATGTGATGCCTGCAGTATACAGAAGACTCATTGAGTATCTAGCACAATATTACCATTTCGTGGAGTATGGTATTCTAATAATACTAAGGCCAACCCTTGAATTTTGATTTATAAACTCTAGACCTTGGGTTTTACAGCAAAAGGAGTAAGTTGCTATAATTGTCCAGCTTATGGACAAATAGGGTTCTCTTAGCTGTCCACGTCTGGGAAAGGGAGCTGGTTGGCAGAAAGGGAGCAAACAGAACTAAGGCCACACATTCTTATATGCAAATGAGCGGCAAATGCGTCACATCCCGCAATCTTTCTTCTTTTGTTAATAAATTCAGGCCCAGTCATTAAGAGGTGGTCACCTCACAAGATTTTCCATGCTGGAGGTGGAAGGAATCACTGGAACATTTATATTCTAGCTCCTGTGGTAAACCTTCCCTCCCAGCCCTTGAGCCAGTGAGTCACTTCCTCTGTTCAAGCCTCCACAGCTTCCTCTCTTTCCCAGCCCTGGCCTGGCCCTCTGGAGAGGAGTCTGGGCTGTTGGGTAGAAAGAGAGGCAACATATATCCTTCAGGCAGCCAACATACCTTGGATTACTTTGAAATATCAGAGAAGGATCCTCCACATGGGAGAAAGTATGTGGTCTGGTAAGTGCCAAGTGCTGGGTTCCAGATTCCGCATTTTTCCTTTTATTTTAAACAGCTCTAGGAAAGGAACACCCATAGAAGGTAGAGTGGGTTGAAGGTTTGTTTTATGACTCATGGAAATTTCTAAAATGATAAATATTGGCTCAGCAGTAGCCTGACCTATGAAACACTCAGCTAAACCCAACTCTATGGTTACAAGAAACAAGAAGAGAGTATTCAACAAATAAACTATGAGTCCACTTCCAAGCTTTCAGAAAGAAAAAGCAGAAAGCATTGCCTGGATTCTGTGAGGTGGCCTTCCTGGCCCACCACGATTTCATTTGTTTTTCCTGAGGCCAGAAACTCCTGAGATTAAGTATTCTGGCCAGGAAGCCATGTCAAACGCTTTGGTTTTATACTTTATTTAGTCCAGAATCTTTTTGGCTACTACAGTGAAAATACTTTACCAGCCATAAAAATTAATGAGGGTAAATTTGGAAATATTTTTCCCCCAGAAAGAGAAAAAGATAAATATTTCCCTTCCAAAGTGAAAATACCTCCATCTATCTGTGTAGAAGAAACGAGGCATTCTGAAGAAATGTTAGTAATCGAGGATATCTCCTCATTTCAGAGAACACTAGAAAGTATGAGCCACAAATAATGTTTGTGCTCCTGCTGAGTAGTTTTTATTTCTCATGAAATAGCATTACCTTAACTTTCCATCAGCTGATTTTATTTTCTAAAGAAAATATACTGATATTCATACCCAATCAAAAGGCTAGTGTAATAACTTACCAAAACCTAGTAATGAGCAGCTCGAATCTGCCTTTCAGCTGGTTTATCCTGTATAACTGGCAGGTTTATTAACAGAGCAGTATTACTTACTGTAGTGTTCATTAGAATTGGCTATCCCAAAACACACACACACACACACACACACACACACACACACACACACACACACTTCACAGTCTGGAATCATGATACATACATCGTGGGGAGCATCAATAAAGTAAGGGAAGACTCAGGCCATGATTCCATGCTTTAGATAAAATAGCTAAAAGGTCTGTGCAGCCTGTAGAGGTCCCAAGCCAGGGACCTCGGAGGAGGTTCCAAATCTGAAAAGGCTTCAGTAAATCTGCCCGGTCGTGCTGTTGACTCTCCTATAACCGGTCCTGGGCACTCAGACTTCCCTTGAGAAAGAGGCCATGTTGGGATAGATGTAGATACCCAGGAACAAGATGAGAGCACATTGTAAGGGAGACTAGAGGGCAGAGAAACAGCTACAGCTGTTCCATAAGCTCTTGTAGAGAGTTCACCTTGAGGTAGGAGAGAAGTGAGGTGCTCAAATGTGTAAATAAGAAACTGTATCCATCAGACTGCCCTTTGACCCACCTGCTGGAAAGTTTCTCAAGTTTCTGCAGAGAGAGAAACTGCAAGAGCCAGATTAATCAGAGAGATGTGCCATGGCCCTGGCATCGATGCTGAGGAAATGGGCCTTCTCCTTTGGAAGGCCTGGCCCTCTGTGTTTTTTCTTCCTTTGCTTCTCTGCTCATTTTATATTAATAAACACTGTGACCTAATGGGGAGGGAGCTCTATCCACCTGAGAGGCTATGGCAGGAGTGTCTCTGCAGGTAGCCAAGGTGATGCTGGCAGCCACAGAGGCAACAGATGTGGATGTGGGGATGGCCGAGCAAGATTGACTCACTGGCTACCAAAGGAGAGAAAACCCCCTGGGCCTTGAGCCATGGCACAGATGGACCCTGGGTCATTCTGCTGTTTGAACCAAAGAGCAGTAAAAATAATTATGGAATGGAAATCCCTTTGTTGAATTTTTTCCTAGTTATTAAAAAATGCAGGTTTATTGCAAAAAAACCTCTGAGAATGTATAAGAAAATGTATTCCAAGTTTACTGTCCCATCACCATTTTATTCACTAATAAAAAAAAGTGGTTTAAAAAATTTAAGTACACGAATTATCTGGGAGTACCGTCTCATTACAAAAAAGGCTATACAGAATATGCCACCTTCCCTCCCCTGCAGTTCTTTGCCCCTCACCAAAACCAAAGCCTGACATTGGTTTGCAATGTGCTTCCAGAGTTTGTTCTTATACATTTTGCACACACAGGATGGATCAATTTATAGATACATAGTTCTGCATTCTGGGATGTTTTTTTTTAAAGCATTAATAGTATTACATTCCATCATCAACTTGCTTCCCTGGATTTGGAAGCCATCCAAATTGCTGCCCCATCACTTCTCTCAGGTCTCTGCTCAGTTATTGCTTCCTCAGTGAAGCCTTCCCTGACTGCCCATCTGAATTAACACATCCCTGTCCTTCCAGTTCCCTCCTCTGCTTTATTTTTCTCCATAGCACTGATTACCATCTAGCATAGTATATTTTTCACTTATTTATCTTACTTACTTTCTATTTTCTCCATTTCAGTATAAGCCCTACAAGAACAGTGATTTTTATGTATGTTTTCACTTATACGTTCTCAGTGCCCAGAAATGTAGGCACATAGTCAGTTGTGAATAAATAAATGAATCAGATTCCAAAGAGTTGATGGGAAGATACTGCAGGTGTAGACACAATGCCCAGAGGGCAGCAGCCATCTTATGAACGTGGGTACCAAAGCCATGTACTAAGGATGGGAAGGAACCTGGGTTCCATGGGTCCACCATACCAGCCCTGCACTGCAAATCTCTAGACATCATGTTAAAAGACAAAAAATAAATCGTAGTTGGGTAAGCTGTTACTGGATGCATCTGAAAATCCTAGGTGATACCAGACAATGGCCCAGAAAGGTCAAGAACTATTCTGAGGGTGAAAAGAGAAGGCTTGCAACAGAGCCTAAAGGGCCCAGTTGCTTGGTCAAATGCTAGTCAAATGCTGATGTGAAGGTTTTTTGTAGATGTGATGAACATTTAAATCAGTCAAGTTTTAAGTAAAGCAGATTAACCTCTGTACTGTGAGTAGGCCTCATCTAAGCAGTAGAAGGCCTTAATAACAAAAAAATGAGGTTTTCTGGAGAAGAATTTACTTCAAGACTAACATTAGAAATTCTGCCTGAATTGCCAGCCTACTGTCCTGCCCTCTGGATTTCAAACTCAAGACTGTAACATCAACTCTTACCTGAATTGCCAGGCTGACCTACAGATTTCAAACTTACCAGCCTCTGCAACTGCATAAACCAATTCCTTAAAATATTGGTTCTGTGTCTCTGGAAAATCCAGAATGATACAGCATCCCTTGAGTATATGGAAGCTTCAGACATTTGTCCAATGATTTCCTTAGGCTAATTTTTGTAAATAGAATTGTTAGGTCAAAGTTCATGAACTATTTAAAGAAATATGAAGCATATTGTCAGTTTGCCCTCTAGAAATGTTACATCAATATACTATTCCTAGGAATAGTATATGGATGTCCAGATCTCCAGGTCCACATCAACATTAGGTAGGTATTTGTGATCTTTTTCACTTTCACCAGTTTGTTAGGAGGTACAATTTTCTCATTTTATACTTGCAGTATTTTGATGAATAGTAAGGTTGAACATCTTTTTTCATATCAAACTCTAAAGTAAATGCTTGCTTTAGAAAGTTGGGCCATTTATATATGGCTCTTTTTCTTTTCATTTGGAAAGACTGCAAATGGCCGGACTCCGTAACAGATAAAATTGTCAACCACTTTTGTCCTTTGTCCAGTTTTCTATTGGATGTTTATCTTTTTCTTATCTATTTGTAATCTTTATGTAGTACTTTGCCTTTCATATAATATATGAACTTCTCCCCATTTTTTGATAAGTGTTTTAACATTGTTTAGGGCTTTTTTTGTAGCACAAAAAAGTTTATATTTTTATGTATGCAAATCTCTCAGTCTTTATCTCTGAGGCAGTTATTTATTTTAGAAATATTGGCCACATATACAGACTTCCCTCTTTTCACATGAAAAATACACAAATGATCAGATTATGTAACATACTTTCCTCAGTTTAGGAATGGAGTTTATAGGTATTATCATTTCAGTATTTGAACCTCTGCCTGGATGCATGGGAAAGTCTTAATATGTCATTTTTCCTAGGCACTTGTGTGATTTCACTTACTGGAGGGGTCTGTTATTGCAGCTGCTAAAAGGTTGGTGATCTTTGGAAATAGAGGAATGTCTTCCTTTTTCACTAAACCTTGGCTATTCTACAGCACTGTGAAAGATATTGGATACATACCTAGCTTCAGGTGATGGGTTTTGAGGAAGAGGTAAGTGGTTCCAAACAGAGTTTGGGTTTAAACTCCATATATTATTCCCAACACTGTGTTGATTTGATGGGAACTTACATACAGATTTTTAGAAGTTACGTAATTCTTGTCTTAGTGCCTCCATGAAAAGCAGCATAGAATCAACAGGTGTTTTGTTTTGCGGCATTACAACGACTTGAGGGTTGACCCACTAACACGCAGAACTCTGGCTCATTTAATGATCTGAAAATAATGATGCGAGGCTGCAGAAGCAGCTGCCAATGCCCCTCCCTTGCCCCTTAGCATCTATAACCCTGGAGGCTGTTTCCTCCCAACTGTCTGCCATTTTCTGTCCCCAATCCTGGAGTGTTAATGCCCTTGGCAGCAGCCTCAACCAAAGAGGGATAGGGAGTTGGTGGGTAAGTGCTCAGCTTCCTCCTGCCTTGAGTGGCATATCTCTGTGGGGCATCCTCCTCTGTCTCCTGGAGTTCCCAGATGCAGTGTGCTCCAGTCACCCACAGTGGTCATCGTGGTAACACCCCATGATTGGCTTCCTTCCCTTCCTGCCTTCCCCGTTTATCTTCTGGTGTCTCAGGATCCTCTCCCAAATACACTTGTACTAGAAGCCTTGCCTCAGGGTCTGTTTCTGGGGGACTCCAAACTAAGATACATACTTAAAGGGAATCAGGCCACATGCAAAAAATAATGGCTAACATTTATTAAGCACTTACTATGTGACACACCATTCTAAGCTCATCACTTAATCCTCACAACATCTTTTGGAACTATTAACACCTCCAGTTTACAGATGAGGCATGTGAGGCATAGAGAGAATTCATCTCTTTTCTGATCCCACATAGCTAATGGGTCAGGAGGAATTTAAGCTTAGACTATTTAACTCAAGTGTCCATGATTTTAATCCATACGTCTGATGACAGCATATCAGGTTACTTCATGTAACTTCACTGGCACACATTTAATAGGCTTTAGGAGGGCATTTTGCTAGTAGTGGAGCTGATAGATTTTTTTCTTTCTTTTTCTTTTGCCATCTATTAGCAATAACAATGTTGCCTAACTTGGACAGTGCACTCATCCAACTGAAATCCGAGTCACTGCAAGAAGCTTTTATTTTTTTCCAACCACATCAAGAAATTTTTCTCCTGGCTCTTCTAAAATGTAGTCTGTTATTGCAGCTAGCTACTGTTCCTGTTGTTTCTGTCAAAACTAGCTGCCCAGCTCACAATTTATTGTATAATAAGGGTCACATTTATGCCCTAATAACCAGCTGAATGGATCCAGGGTTTTAGCTGGTCATGATGTGTGAGGCATGTTCATTGCTGTTTTGACACATTTCACAGGCTGTGGAGTCTGACCCTTACTTGAACTGAAATATTCTTCCAGCTGCTGACCCTATCAACTTTTTTCTTTGTTACAAGGCAAAATGCCCTTCTCCTAGTCCAGCTGCTGGTCTTTGGAAAGAGTAAAACAAGTGTTTTGTGGCTCCTAGAAAATGTTATAAAATTGTTTCCCAAGTTGTAAAATTCTTGTTTTGGTTGAAAACTTGTCCAAAAATAACAGAGCCAATGGTCAGCCATTATTTCAGGGGGAAAAAAAAATCTTGTGATTAGCTAGGGATTGTTATCTTCCTTTCTACTGAAATAGAGACCAAGTCTCCAGCTGGGTCTAAACTATTTTTGAGATAAATGTCTTTCTTTAGAGAGATACACTTTAACTTACTGGCTGACTTCCATGGTTTTTGAAATGTCCCCATAAAACTTCAGAAGGCATTTTAACTTTATAAGGCAATTTATCATAAATTAATTTTCAGAAACTTTGTGAGCCAACTTGAAATCAAAACCGTCTTCTCAGGCTGTCTAATTCTAGTCTAATTTTTCTTAATTGAGCATTTAAACTTAGGGTACCATTTTAAGTAATATGGGAGGACTGATTCTCTTCTTTGAGCTATCTTGCAGAGACTGAAGAAAAGACATCAAAAGTTTCTCTCCATCGATTTCAGTCCCTGGAGAGGTGGGTCTGTGTTATTTCGTAAGTAATGTGTAGCCAGTAAATGTTAAACAACTGACTTTCCAAGGGGAAAATGTCCTCAAGTTTCTTTATAGGTTTGTTAATTCCCATGCTGTAAATACTCCCATCGAAGCAGATTTCAAGCTACCAATGAGGTGTCAAGTGGCTCCCAAAATTTTTGAAAACTTAACAGTTGGGTCTTACGGGCTCTGAAGAGGCTGCTCTAGAACAATACTGCAAGTAGCTCAGCCCAGTAGTGTCCCATATGCAGGCTTGGGAACACTGGTTTGTTGGCTCTGTGCTGCCCTGGAATTGATCTTAGGGTTCACTAGGACATCATGCTGCATATCCTGGCAAAGTGGCACTTTCAGACCCAGTTTGTGGGTTACCCAAAAGCTCAGGTTACCTTGAAAAAATGTACCCTGGGAGAATCAGGTCCCAGATAGCTTATATAATTGTTGTCCCTGCAGATTCTAAGCCATACAGTTAAGGTCACTGAGGACAGTCCAAAGGCATTTTAGAGACAAGGGGCACTCAAAGCTCTGCGGCTTGAGGTTAAACTGTGATGTTCAGTAAAGGCTGACCACAGGACAAAATAAGCAGCCAGAATCTAACTTGGATGCTACCCTTTGTAATGGATTTTGTTTTAGGTTTACATCTGAAAAGCCACAGCCCTTGAGGATGCCTGGGACACATCTTCATTATCTATCACTTGAGGACATCTTTTCATTGTTTCATCTCTTAAAATAGAAAGTTTTTTCCAAGGAATTAGTTTCTTCTTTTGGTGCATCTTGTAACTACAGTCATCCCCCTGACTGGTACACTATTTCTAAATGAATACATTTTTGTTTCTATCCCTATGTATTTCCTGTAGTGATGAAAGACGACATAAACTAGCCATCATTGTAGAGAGCAAAGCAAATTTCAGTTTAGATCTGGTAGTACATTTTGCCCATGCCCTTTGAAACAGCCCAGTCAGCAGGTAAGAGGGCCAGGCCTTTGGTACTTCTTTGGCCAAGCAATATCCAGCTTCCCCATTTAAAAGTTTCAAGATGACCCTCCTGACATTGAAAAACTTTGTCCTTTATTTCAAGTTTTTATCTAAGACTTGTTTGCTCTTTCATTCATTTTATCAGGCACCTACTTTGCATCCGAAGCTTTTCTAGTTGAGGAATGAGATGTTGTAACCATCAGGGGTTTTCTATATCTAGCAGGAAATAAATGGCATGAACAAAAGGTTTGGCTGAAGAGAATTCAATGAAAGGACACTTTCCAGAGTGTGAGCAGGGTTAAGGGGATGAGCAGAGCATGGTGAAGGGCCTAAGAACTGGTGATGGCACTAAGTTCTTACTACCCCAGGCCTCAAAGGAGCAAGAGGTGCCATGAAGGGATGATTATGCACAGACAGAGAGGCAAGCAGAAAGAGTGTTTCTCTGATCTGCCATTTGCCACACCCTACAGGAAACGGGAAGACCTAGAAGGCTGGTGATGTAATCTGGGGCTGGAGGCAGCCTTCTAGGGTTTGGAGCAGACTGGAAAATGAGGGACGCTGGCTCTCTGCGGTAACCCCCTGGTGGAGGATTATTCATTGGGGAATGAACAGCATTGATATCGGCCCCACCCTCAAAGGGTTGCAATCTAGTTCAAATAATCATGTCAGGTCTGCCTGGGTGATAGAAAGGTGGAGCCTTAGCCAGGAGAGTATCCTGGGTGTGTGGAACTGAAGACTTCTCCCGATACTTATTTTCATAAATTAATATGCATAAGCTGATGGGTGGAAGGTGCAAAGGAATAGGGAAGATATTGGTATCCAAACCAAGGGACACAGGCAAAAAAGAAATGGGTGGTATCTGCTGAGTGAGAAAAGCCAAATGAGAAAAATTTTAAATAAATGAAGGGGTGGGAATCAGAAGGCATCAACCATGAGCAGGTGGTAAAAGATGGAATAGCAGGATAATGTTCACATCACTTACAGCCCTTTTCCAAATGACCTACCAAATCAGATGATTAGAATAGGTATTTCTTTGAATTTTGGCCTGACTCAACGTGCTTGTCAAAAAGGCAATCTCCTACAAACCAGCTATCATTACAGATTTCATTAGGAAATCTCTCATGGAGTTTAAGTCTGAGTATTGGCTAGGGCTTAAAATGTACAGTCTTAGTATCCCTTACTGTACTTTTAAACTGTGTGCAGAATCTGAAACTAGAGAACAAAACAGCCCGAGATAACCACTCCCCAATTTCAGATCAAAGCTGAGAAGTTGGTAAACTTTGGAAGATAGAACATCTTATGAAACAGTGTAATCAATTCCTCTTGTTATCAATAGGAAAGTAGGTATGGACCAATAAAAACAATAGATATTGAAATTTGTATATTTCTATTACAAATGCCTTCATGTGTAATTCCTAATTCTTGGGATCCATTTCCTAAATGGTATGAAACAAGGTCGGAACACCTTTTAGGGCAAAGCAGGCATGCCAGTTACCAACTGTGGCTAGATGAACAGATTGAACCACTTTGCAATCTACTTCAGAAGAAAAGGGGCTGTGGTTCAGATGTAGGCTGACACAACTTGGGAGTGGGGGTAGGTCTGTTTAATGATATCTTAAAGATGTACAGAGCACTAATATGAATAGCATGGTTAGAATTAGATACACAAGAAATTATAACTGTGAAAGACACTTCTCCAAACTCAGTCTTGAGGATGGCGCCTTTTGGGACAATGACTCATTTCTGCATCGCTGAGGTCATGGGTGTATGGCTACTTCTCATGCATAACTAGAGTGATGGTGAATGAGTAGGCATGACAATGTCTCAATAACATTCCACTGAGGCTGTGTCCCATTGATGTTCAGGGAAGACAAGTAAGATGTGTGTCAAAATCCCTTCATTATTAGTTGTGGTAAACTTCTATCATAGTTATCAATGAAATCCTGGTTGCTGAGGCTATGATACCATCTTGTAAATCGAAGAAACCTCTCTGTATTTTCTTCTTATCATTAAGAAACATCTATTCTCAGCACAGTTTTCCCATAAGTATTTGGGATTTGGGGGAATAGGTTTTCCATTTGTTATCATTTCAAACTTGTAGAAAAGTTGAGGAAGAATACAGGGTACTCCCATAAAACTTTTACACAAATCCACCAACAATTTACATTTTGCTCCATTTGCTTTATTATTCTATGTATTTATATGTTTGTGTATTATATATGTATATATATTATTTGCTTTCTGAATCATTGAGAGGAAGTTAGAGATTGTACCTCATTATCCCTTAAACCAGTGTGTATTTCCTAAGAATAAGGTCATTTTCTTACATGCCATAGTACAATTATCAAAACCAGGCATTTTAAGTCACAATATTATTATCTAATCCATATTCTGTATTTAAATTTCATCAGTCATCACAATGATGTTCTTTTTTTGGACTTTTGTTGTTCTAGAATCCTACTCAAGATCATGCACTACATTTGTGTCAAGGCTCTAACTGGTGCCCATAAGTCTAAAACCACAGGGAACACAACTGTCATCAAACAAATCTGGGTTAGTTGATATTTGCTTCAGTTTTGGTATTAGATCCTGAGAAAAGCAGGTTGGGTACTTAGAGCCCTCCTGCCTTGACTGTGTTTGCATCTATGGCTTTACTTTCAGAAAGTCTTCAAAGTCACCTGTGTGTGTTACTGGGCGAGGGAGCCTTGCTTCTGAGTGTTTTTCTCCATCTGTTGTCACTCTTCATGCTGACTCCTCACAGGGTGGATGAGTGTCTCAACAGCTGGTCTTAGAGACTGGGGCCTGATAGAGAAGGAAGCAGGGAATGGGGTTGGGGAGCCAGGGGGCTTCCTTTCACTCTGGGGTTCTGGCCATTTTATACACAAGCCTTTCTAGGATGATCTGTGTGTAAATTGGTCCAGTCTGGTGGAAAGGCTTCAAGCTATGCATCTGTGCTGCCCTGAGGGATGGGCAGAGAATAACTTGCAGGTCTTCTGTCATGATGGGGGTTGGGTAGTGAGTTGCCTGGCTGTGCAGGAATGTGGAAGGAGACTTGAAATTTGAACTGCTCCTGTGCAGACTCTCAGCCGCCTCTCTGGTTTAGCTTTTAACACCCCCACCTTCTGCTGTATCTGGTACATCTGATTCACAAGCTTTTCTGAGTTTCTCTCGCATGAGCCAGCTTGTTTTCCTTCCCATTCCCCTCTGAGGCATTCAAGTTTCAGCTTTCTCCACTGTGCTAGGTCAGTCGCCACTAATCTGTCTCTGCTCAGCCTTCTGGAAATTTGTTGACATACCTTGTCCTCTGTGATCTTTTCATCCTTATTTTTGTGGAGTTTTGATCTAAAAGAAATATTTGCTGCCTTTTTGAGGGGGAAGGAGCAGAGATAATGCCCATATTCAGTCTACTTACAACTAATGGGAAGCCCAGCCCTCCCTTCAAACTTTCCTTCCTTGGGATCTTTCTTGCCAAGCTCGCCTCAAATGAGCCTCCCCATAAATCAGCCTCCCCTTGTCCAGGAGCTTATGGGTCACTCTGGTTCTTCTCACATGAGTTGCTCTCACACCTTATTTATGCTGTTCTGTCTGGAATGTTAACTTCCCTACCTACCTACCCACTACTCACTGCTGATTCCCTTTGGTACAACCAGCATTTTCCTATGATCTCTGCCTTAGGATTTATCCCAGATTTCCTCATGTCTTTATTAGTCAAGTAGGAATTTGCCTCCTGAACCTTGAGGGTAGGGACTTGACCTTGTTTAGTATTTAACTCCCTGAGCTTTATGAGTAGATGTTTTCTAAGTATTTGTTCAACTGGATTAAATTGAAATAATATTTTTCCTTTGTTATGTTTCTGGGATGTAGTTTTCTCAAAAGGGATTACAACGTGTGGTAGACTGGGTTGCTGGTCCCAGTTCTTCACTCAGGTGTGATAAAGTGACACACCCACACCCTTACCATGGACCTGGGGTGGGCCATGCTTCTTCCCAACTCTTGACTTCTGCTATGGCTGTGTGCTTGATTTGCTTTGAACAACAGGATGTTACCAAACATGATGCAAACAAAGGCTGGCTCTTGTCCTTCTCTCCTTGTCTTTGCTAGTCCTGGGAGGATGATACACCTTTGGTGCAGAGCTGCCCCACCTGATTGGAAGACCTGCAGCTTGGAGGAGAGCTATCCAGCTGACCTGCAGACCTGGGAGTGTGGTGATAAATATTTCTTGTATGCCACTTAGTTTTGGGGTCAGTTTGTTCTGTAGCAATATCTGACCAATACATGATGTCAAATGGAATGAATGATTTTCTAACTCTTGTCTAACCTTGGTTTTGTTCTCCAGAAAGACTGAAACATATTTACCATGCCATCAGCATGGTATATATGTACCTACAAAATATAACCATGTGGCTGTCCTCATTTGATCATAAAATCTAGTTTTAAAAATGGTTTAAGAAAAGAAACACCACCAGCACAACTTCAGACCAGCCTGAATCCATTCCACACTGGATCCATTATCTTAGAGTCTTTTTAGAAAAATAATAAACCATAATAAACTCAACAAGTGATTTTCTTGATCTTTGATAACTATAACTTTAATTTGTAGAATAGTATGTGCAATCCATATAGCTGTTTATTACATGGTACTGCTAATCCTTATTTTTATGAAAACAGCCTTTTAAAAATGATTTTTTAAATTGGAGATATGAAAAAATGTTTATATTTAGGAACATTCTCTTCAAATGCTATTTCTTTCAACACCCGCAATTCACTTTTATATTTGTCTAAGTCTAACTTTGTTATATCCATGATACAAATTAAAATGAAACTTAATGGCAAAAAATTATCTTTATTATCTAATTGAGAGTTGGCCTATTAATTAAATCTTGGCCTATTTATTAAATCTTTAACTTGTAGGACTTTTTAAATTCAAAGAATCTATTATGCTAATGCCTTGATGGAGCTCTAGATGTTTCTCCTCCAGAAAAGATGTCACAATCCATGAGAGCAAGGGTAACATAATAAGGATAACTGTGCATCTGTTTCCTAAGTTATTGTACAAAAATCAGATTATTCACAAATGTTCAAGTATTACTAAGAACTTACTTGGAACACACCTCACAATTTATAGAGATGTGCCACTTAATTTTTCATCCATGGTTAAGAACCCTTAACATAAGGAGGGCTCCTAAATGTCATGTTGAAGTTAGGAAAAAGAATTGCTTAAGTAATTAGAAAAAAAATGGTATTAACAAGTTCCAGCATTGAGAGCTTGACTCAAGGAGAGAGAAGGGGTGTGAAGGACTGGAGGGCAAAGCAAGGGGTCCTTGGGTTCTTGAGGTGGTCCTTGGGTTCTTGAGGTAGTCCAAGTTTAACAAGCTCCTTGGACTTCCTTCACAATTTCCAGTGGAAGCAGTCCTGCCTCTCTTGTTCTCCTGACCCTCCACTCAATCAGAGAGCAACCAGCTTTAACAACGTCGAACAAAAACCTCACTGCCCAATTTAACCTTCCAACCCCCAGAGCTGTACGGTGCGCTAATCCACTGCACAAAAGCGGGCCTGCTGCTCTTTTATTCTTCCCGAGGCTGGGCAGTGTTGAGCTCGACAGCTGATGAGCTCTGGAAAGTTCCAGCAGCCTGCCAGCGGCCGCCGAAGTTTATTTAGCGCGCTGCTGGCCCGGCCGAGGCCTCCGGGAGCCGGCTCTTCGCGCCGGCCAGTCCGCTGAGCCATGTACCGGCGCAGCTACGTCTTCCAGAGCCGTAAGGAGCAGTACGAACGCGCCGAGGAGGCGCTACCGCACATCGGCCAGCCGGGCAGCCTGCTGGAGGGCTCAGCGACCGCGCCGAACCTAGCGGCGCTGCAGGGCCTCGGCGAGCGCGTGGCCGCCCACGTCCAGCGGGCCCGCGCGCTCGAGCAGCGCCACGCAGTCCTCCGGCGGCAGCTGGACGCCTTCCAGCGCCTGGGCGAGCTGGCCGGCCCCGAAGACGCCCTCGCCCGCCACGTTGAGGGCAACCGCCAGCGCGTCCGGGACCTAGCGACCGAGCGCACCCGGTTGGAGCGCCAAGGCGCAGAGGCGCAGCGGGCGCTCGACGAGTTTCGGAGCAAGTGAGCCGCGGCGCGAGGTGGGGTGGTGGTGGTGGCGGCGAAACCGAGGCAGGGCGTGGGCGGCCCCAGTGGCTCAGGTCCGGGAGCGCGCGGCCGGCCCTGTCTGGCGACCGCTGACTTCATCCCTGCAGAGCGCGCCCAAGTGGTGCGTTTACCTAAGATTAACCAGCTTCCATTTTGATGGCACTACATTACATGAAATGCTATCTTTTTTAATGTTAAAATTTAGGTATAGGTTACATACAGTAGCACACACATTTTATGTGCATAGTCGAATGAGTTTTGACAACGTATATACCCATGTAACTACCAAAACAAACAAGGTATTTCCATTGCCTGCCCGAGAAAATTTTCTCCTGCCTTTTCCCAATCTCCCTTGCCCTCTCCCCCAAAAAGCCCAGAGGCACCCACCCTACTGATTTCCATCTCCACTTATTAATTTTGCCTGATCTAGAATTTCACAAAAATGAAATCTTGCAGATGTACTTGGTATGCCTAGCTCCCTGTGCTCAGCACAGTGGTTTTGAAATGTATCCATGTTATTCAGTTCCCACAGCCTTATCCTGTAATAGTTGGTACTGCACCAGAGGAGGAGACTGAGGCTCAGAAACTGTAGGAATGTGGAGTAAGGTCTCACAGTTAATGAAATTCTATGTTGACTGGGATTCAAGTCCTGGGCATGCTAAATCTAATCCAATCTTCACTGCATCACAGTCCACACCTGAAAACTATTTCAGTGTGTGTCCTCCTTGGTCTTGCTACTCAAAGTGCAATGCCATAGACCAGCAGAATTTCTATCAGCCAGGAGCTGGTTAGAAATGGAGACTCCTGGGCCCACTCCAAAGCTCCTGAATCAGTCTGCATTTGAACAAGACACCTAGGTGATCCGTAGTTTCAGAAGTTAAACACTGAAGTTTCAGAAACCCTGCTCCGCATCATGGTTCCCTTTTGACAGACTGAATAAGGGGGTAAAATCACCTGAAGAGCTGAATAAAAAGAAAAAGAATGCTCAGCAAGTTGTCAACATTTTTCCAAGTTATAAATGCTGGTGTACTTTGACCCAGCAGGGCCACTGGAAGGGATTTATTCTATGATACTCTGGCAAATGTCAAAGGGCATGCCCACAGGGATATTCACCATAGCGTGACCTGCAATAGCAGAGGCCTGGGACCAACCTAAATGCCAGTTAAGAGGAGACAGGGTCCAAAATTGTGCTCCATTCATGCAGTGGAATACTATGCAGTTAGAAAAAGTGTATTATTATTATTATATATTTAAGAAAGAAAGGGGGGAGAATAGATTTCTTTTGCTTTGCATAAGAAAAAAGAGGACACAAGCACACACACAAACCTAGTGACACTGGTTATGTGGGGGATAGGGAGTAGGAACTGGCCAATGGGGAGACAGAGGCAGGAGGGAGACTTTCAGCTGAACTTCTTTTTATGTAATTAAAAAAATATTGTCTAACCATGTAAGAGATTGATCCATTTAAAAATGGTATAAATTAATTTAAAAAATAAAGATGTCCAGGCCTGTCCTCAGGTGGCATTTAAATTTTTAGGCGCCCCACTGGTAAATGCCAGTTAACATCCAGGTGTGGGAGCCCTGATCTAGGGTAACCAGAGGGTTTTCTCCACATGTGCTCCATCTTTGAGTTCCATACTCTCAGTCTGAAGTTTGGGCAAGTATTCAACATTGTGTAGTGAGCATATTTATCAGATCAAAATAATTGATTCCATCACTATCAGTCCTTCTATTTCTGCTTTTGTTCCACAGAAACAGATCTGGAGTTAGAAGAAGGGAAATCTACCTGTTACAGCCCTTTAGGGGAAAACTGAGGCTTGGAAAGGCCCTGTGGGTGGCAGGACTTGAACTCAGGTTTTCTTGCTGTGGGCCCATACTTTTTCTAGAACACTGTATTTTGGAGAGAAGCCAATCTTGGATTCCTGTGGAGCAAGGCCCACAGATAGGATCTTATTCAAATGAAATTCATGTTCTCTAAAGCAAAGGGGAATGTACCCAAGCAGCTCCAGGGGTCAGCAGGACACCCTAGATTAGGTCATTAGGCCATTAGGCCAGAGTCCACTGTGATTTGGCTTGGCAAGCATAACTCCTTTGAGTCCTCACTGAGGAATGGCCATGCTGAGTTTTCCTGATTTCACTTGGTTCTGAGTTCTGTCTATCATGGAGCAGCCCCTTCAGGCTCTGTGATTTATTTAATAATTCTCATTAATTTAGTCTCTCCCTCCCATTGCCCCCTTGGAGGTTTTGATAGTCTAGCTTGAGTACTAGGATTTGAAAATTACTATGAAAATCATCCCCATCCCCATGTATATACATGTATGAGTATACCTACACCTAGTCTGGTTTTACATTCCAGAGGTAGGTTGATAGCTAGACAAAGCCAGATGAAATTAATGCAGAGATGGGAGAATATATGTAGCCTTGTTAGGCATATTCTCTACCTGGATAGATGAATAGTTTCAAGATCAAGTCTTCAGCACATTAAACAAAGACAAACTAGAACAAGAATGAAATAAAAACAAATATAACTACCAAAATATGTTGCATTATCCAAATTGCTGAAAACCAAAAATAATTATGTAAAACAGATAATTGAAGCTGAAGTTTTTTTTTCACTTGATGAATTCACTTGTATATTCACTTTCATGAGTATAAATGAATGTATCATGAATTCTTGTCATGAATTTTTAATGTTGAAATCACTTGTGTTTAAGATAATATCTATACTTGTCTTTGCAACATGAACATTTCCCATGATACCATGTTAAAGTGTTATTTATCAAACATGTTTCTAAGCCACAGAATTTAGATTTTTCTAGCAGGAAGAGCAATGAGAAAATTGGATTTTGTTAACAGTTTTATTCTCAAAGCTAATTAACCATTAAAAATAATAATTTCTGGCTTCATGACAGCCACACAGGAAAGAAACTGCTAAATGTGACATAGTGATGTGAAATGTAAAGCTAGTGTCACTTTGTTTTGCTTACTGGTTAAAGCTGAGCTTCTTAGATGGATTTGGATCTGGGAATGTGGACACAGAGGCTATATTCCGATTGTTCTTCAGGTCAGGGCTCTTTTTAATTCTGAGGACACAGCACCATGGTGTCAAGAGTACTTGAGCCCACGGCATGGGTGTGCAAGTGCACAGAAAGCTATGCTTCGTGGGTTGGGGTGAGTGCTAATTTGGATTAGTTTTGGCCACAAATGAGATAAACTCCGAAGTGACATTGGCCTATCCAGGAGGGAAGTTTGTTTTTTTCTTGGGTAAGTTCTGGGTAAGTAGTGTAGCATGGCTCTCTACGATATTTGGGGTTCAGATATTTGCATGGTCTTCCAGAAGGCAGCATCCATGTGTCAGGGGCGCAATGGGGGAGGGGGTGCCGAAGGGCACCTATACCATCTTACCAAAGATATCTGGAAGCCAGTTTCCCATTGGTCAGGACTTAGTCACATGGCCACACCTCGCTGCAAGGAAAGCTGGGAAATGTAGTCTACCATGTAGACAGCTGTGTGTCTGCCCAACATCAATGGTTCTAACTCCTGGACTAAGGCCAGAAAGCATATTGGGGGCCTCTTACAGGGAACAAAGAGGCAGTCACTGGGAAAGGGGCTTCATTATTTCTCAAGAGGGCAAAATAGCCTCTGGAGGAAAATTCTTTTTCTAACCATAATGATTTCTGGGATCTTTCTGCTTTCTTGATCCATATTATTTTCTAGAAGTCCAGGGAAGAAGATGAGGAGGAGAAACAATACACCTGTCCTAGTATCCATTGCTTAATTAATCTTGTGTATGTTTATGTTTGGGGTTTCCTTCCTCTACCCAGAGCACCGTTTTTGGAGTCAGACTCAAGTATGAGTCCTGATCGCACCTCTCTCTTACTTTGGAGTCTTCCAGAAGCTGAGCCGGAGGTAGGAATTTGAGGGCAGGTAGCTTATTTGGGAGGTGGCCTCAGGAAGCACCTGTTGGGGAGTGAGAAAGGGAGTCTGGAAGGGAAGGCAGCCAACACTGAGTACCTCCTTCCACAAGTTGCCCTGCCAGGCAGCTGGAGCTACCCCGGAGTGGAGGACACACCTCAGCTGTTCTAGCCTAGGGCAAGGGAGCTGGGATTTGTATGCACCCACCCGTCTTCTGGCAGAGAGTGAGGCCTGCCCCCAAGGGCACTGACTGTGGGCCCCCTGCCCCCTGCCTGGAGGAGGCCTTTGGTGGCAGGGGTGCTTCTTCAGAGCTTAGGGTGCCTGGAGCACCTGCCTGAGGTCCTGGGCCAGTTTCTCAACCTCAGTTTCCTCATCTTTCACATGGGGCAACAATAACTGGTCTCTTCCGGGGTTTTGTCAGGATTAAAAAAAAAAGTGACACATGGATAAATAAAGCAGTATAAGAAACCCACACAAGGTCAGGTTAGGGGTGTTGTAAATCTGTGGGGCACCCCGGTCTCTGGGCTGCTGCTGTACTTGGTTATAGGTATGCTGAGGTAGGATTCCTTCATCCTCAGATTGAGGTGGGGGTGCTGGGGGGTGCCTCCAGGCTGGGAGACTCCTTTTCTTTTGACCGATGTACCACCAGAATGGCACCCCTGATGTGAAAGATTTGGGAAGCAGTGGGCTTGGGAATGCATCATTACTACTGCTTCAAAATTAAGAACCTCTCCTGAAAGAGAGGGAATCGTACTCAGATTAAAATTAACGCTATGTGAGCATCACTCATTAGAGAATGACAGAAGCTGCCAAACTCTCACTGTGTGTCTAATTTGCAGGTATGAAAACGAATGTGAATGTCAGCTGCTGCTCAAAGAAATGCTTGACCGGCTGAACAAGGTGAGCTGCACATGGCCTTGGGCTTAAGTGGATCGGTGCCAGGACTGAGCCATGTGGCAGACAGGACCATTTCACATTCCTCCTCTGTGTTATTTTAGGGTTCACCCATTTCTTTTGCTGTCACTCTCTTTGAGTTCACAGTGTCAGTTAAATCCTGTGTGAACTTGCTCTCCCGGATGCACACTCCTCTCTCCCAGCACACTGGGTCTCATGAGAGAAGCCTACAGGCCATTCAGCTTATCGGTTATGAGAGGCTGTCAAAATGTGCCAGCATTCCACTGACCAGCTGGGGTTTTGCCATTTGGATGTTCTGGCCCCAAACACCAAACCTAGGAGGGAACTTGCTTCAGCCAGTGGTTATTTGGGTGTTCTATCTCTGCTCTGTTGGCTAAGAGTCTTGAGATTGCTCTACTGGAGAGCTCTCAAGAGAACAGATGAAGAAATTTCTATTTCCCCTCAAACTCTCCCATCTTGAAGCATGAAAAATAGCCACGTGGGGGCACCCGGGATTCTTAGCTTCATCTGGAGACCCTCCTGTAGAGGTGACTGAAATTGCTCTTTGCAGGCAGTTTCCTTCAGGTTCTCCATCATCGTCCTATTGATTGGATTTTCTGCTGCAGCCAGTAGAAAACTGCCAAATAGCAGAATAATCCTGGACCACAGGGGCTGGACAAAACCAGGGATGGCAAATAGCTGCAAGCATAATGCTTTTCTGATTATTTCAGAGCTCAAATATTTGAGCAGAAGTACCCATGGACACCATCTCCTTGAAGGGTTGCTCGTATTGGGCACATGGCTGCTTCCCCCTTTCCTCTGCTTCCATGCTGGTAACCTCATCAGAATTGCTGATAAAACACAGCACCCTTCCCAGTTGTGCTCAAATGTGGCCTCAGATTCTTCTCCACTGTCTGCAACCACTTCAGACAGTCAGGATCAGCTCTGGATGTTTGCCATTCCCAGGCTTTGTCCCAGACTTTGTTGTCTACAATTATTTTGCTAATTGGTGGATGTCAGAACCATGATCTAGAGAAACTGGATTTTGCTTTGTCCATGTTACCTACTGTGTGAATACTTCTGTGCCCTTCTCTGTGTGAGCAAACCAGGCCACTGTGTGAAAGGAGGTCCTGTTAATAATTAGGAAGGTGATAGAAACTGGACTGTCTCAGGCCAGCCAGGATATATGAGCACCCTGGACACAAACACCCAGGTGGCGGGTGATGGGTAGCCTGGAACACACAGGCTCAGTGATTGGCCTGTATTGTTGGGTTGTGATGCCCCCAGGCCTGTTGGAAGTCTGAGCTGGGATTTGGGCCTTATTAGCATCTGGCATCACCCAGCTGACACTTGTAGCTTATTCCCATTCTTGCTTTTGTTGGCAATCCCAGGATGCCAGGTGGGGCTGCCGTCGTGTCATTGACCCAGTCTTTGAATCTTGCCTGGAAAATACCACAGTGTATGTAGACAGGACTGATTGCCCACTGCTTTCACAAAACTGTCATCTATTAATACCGCTTATGTAATTAAATCTCCAGAACAGAGCTCCCTTATTTTTAGCAGCTAAATAAGCTAAAGTAAGCCACTCTTTGCCTTGTATTTGAAATGCAATAAATTCCCCAATATATTACTCACATACTATGGCCAAAGTTATTCAGATTTTAAGACTTTTAATGTAGTAAGAAATCCTGTTGACTCTTAAATAACGTAACTATTTGGATTAGGGTAACCTCTAGGACTCATTGTCTACATTGTCTATATATATATATTCATATGTATATATGAATATACATATAGTTGACTCTTGGACAATGGAGTTGAACTGCTAACCTGCACAAGTCCACTTATATGTGGATTTTTTTCAATAAATACGTTAGAAAATGTTTTGGAGATTTGCAACAATTTGAAAAAACAATTTCTTTGGCTTACTTTATTGTAAGAGTACAGCATATAATCATGTAACATACAAATATGTGTTTATTAACTGTTCGTGTTATCAGTAAGGCTTCTCGTCAATAGTAGACTGTTAGTAGTTAAGTTTTTCAGGAGTGAAAAGTTATACATGGATTTTTTTTTTTATACACAAACTTTGACTGCATGGGGTGGGGGGTTGGGTATTTAACCCCCGAGTTGATCAAGGGTGAAGTGTGTGTGTGTATGTTTGTGTATGGAGCAGGCTTTAAGGTTCCTTTCTTTTTCTTTTAAAATCCCCAGAATTTAGAAATGATATAGGGTCTAGTCAAATGTTTCACTTAACAGCAGTTTTAAGAAATACCTAAGTGGCCATATATGCTCTTCCCTGTAACTCGTGTATCCTAAATACATCTGGTTAAGAGCAGGAGGCAAGGGCACCCAGGAGCTGAAGGGGTGGGGCATGAAGCTTTCGCCTTCAGGGCCACAGCCTTTAGACAGCCAAGAATTCCTCTGAGGATGTAAATGAAGATGGCAGAGGGAGAGAGCAGGAGTCCTGCAGAGAGAGGGTGGAGGATTGTAAGACACGCCCAAGACCTTCCTCCAGGCCTGCCTTAGGACCTGGCAGGAAAGTGACCCTAAAATTTTTGGAAAGGTTTTTAATATCCAGGATGGAAATAAGTGTTTTTAATGAAATTCTAATTAGCTAAATCTTAATGAACTTGAATACCCATTCTTAAGCCTTTTTTTTTAAGTTGGCCACTCAGAGGCTGAATTTAAGTCTGGGTGTGGATACCGAACAGGTTTTTAATGGAATGTCTAGCATCTCTGCAAATGTATTGGCAAGCCTGCTTTTAAGGGGTCATTGGACTCCATTTATTTCTCCAGTCCTTTTCTTAAAAATGGTCTAGACAAGCGATTCTGAAACTTCAGTGTGCATCACATCACCTGGAATGTGTGTAAAAACACAGATTCCTGGCCCTGACCCCAGAAATTCTGACCCAGCAGGTCTAGGGTCCCCCAGATATTCCATACCTCCAATCATGTGACATTTCTAATCATCTTAAGTCATCCATCATTTACCATGCTTGAAGAACCACTGGCCTGGATTTCAAACATATACAATACTAGGGTTGGAATGTTTTCTAAAAGTAGACCACTAACCCAGAGTCCCAATTCAAAAAATCTAGATGCTTCTGCTGGTGGAGCTTTAGAAAATGCAGCTGACAGCATCCAAAGCATAATAAAAACACAAGCGTCCACACATTTCTGAATTCTGGTGGAAACAAAAGAAAACACTTCCCAGTAAATTCTCCTTGGCATTTCAGCAACTGCACATGCCAGTGATTCATACTCATCTTTCAGGAGTTTTCAGGGCAATTTATCAGATGATGGTCTTCAGAGCAAGAAGGTGTGCTTGCATCTATTTAGTCCCTATTTTAAGGACAAATATTTGCTGGGCTTTTATTATCACCATGAAGCAGTTTCAAAGGCTTGGCTGATGAGACCCAAGGTGGTTGTTTCAGCTTGATCCTAAGAGGAAGAAAGGCAGGCACCTTACAGGATGGGATCAGGTCTCAGCCTTCAACTCAAGATTAGTAGAGAGAAGCCCAAAATAGATTCCAGTCCTGTTGTCTCCTGTTTACTTATGTTAATGAGCTTCATGGCCCGCTGGCTCACACTGGCTTCTGCCTTCCCATGTAAGGGGGACTCAGTTTCTGAGCTGCATTTGGCAGAGCTCTCAGGCTCCAGGGAGCTGCTTGAAGGGTCTCTGGGGGGAGAGGGTTGTGAGATCTATCGGGGGCCTGCTTCCCCACCCCAGTCATGTCCTTCAGGAGGCACATATCTGCTTTGCTTCTACACATTGGCTTCCCTGGGATATTTTGTTTGAGGGATGATAAATGTGACTTAAAAATTTTGAGGACCAGTGACCTCTAGGGTTCCTTCTGTTTCAAAAATTGAGAGTGTTTGATTTATCTTATAACTAGTAATATAAATGGTCCTTGAATCCCTATTTCCAGTTCTTCACCTCCAGTAGCTATGAATCAATCGTGGATTAGCTTTTGGCAAAAAGTAATACATTTGCCTATTCTCTGCCCCACCTCATCCTCAGAAGTCTGAAGAGGGCCATGGAGGGTGGTGGGGGCAAGGGAGGGTAGGAAAGCATCCAGAGGACTGGCTTAAGGTCTTCACCCAACACTCCTTCACCTCTGCCCCAGATTTAGCCCTGCCTGTCTAAGGGTGCCCCATCCTCAGGGTTGAAGAGCACTTGCACAGTGAGCCATGGCTCCTGAAGGGAGTAGGATGGCACCCTGCACATTTGGATCTTCCTTCTCAACATTGCAGATTGTCAATCAAGATGACAGTCATGTGACCCACACTGGTCCTCACAGTGTTGACCCCTGTGAGGCAGAGATGAATGCAGCTGGAGCCAGTCATCCTGAGGGTGGTGCCATTAACTCCTGCTGCTTAATTCCTGGACGGCCCTGCTTTCTGTCCTTCTAGAGGTCTGGCTGTTTTTCCTTTGGAGTCTGTAAATTACCCAGGATCTTTCTGCTTCCTCAGCCCTTTCCCATTGCTGCAAAGACATCCATGCTTTCTTTCCAACACCATTGGAACTTCAAAGGCTTTTGCAATAGTTCTGGATAATTCAGAGAGCAAGACACCAGGACCTTCAAGGGGCCTACCTGCTGTCCCTGGGGAATTAATGCCTTATTTGCACAAGTGCACCAGTAAGCTTCCAATCTCCCAGGAGTGGGCAGTGCGTCTCCTGAAAGGAACAGTACTGTAGAGTTTTCACTGAACTCTGCATAACTGTCCCTGTAACACAGGACTTAAGGACCCATTCATTTAGCCCCTGAAGGCAGAGTAAAAGTCAGCAATTGAGTCATTCATCAAAAGAATGAGCTGGAACCTGGACACCCAGAGTTAGATTTCTTGTTAATTATAGTTCTGGAGTTCAGAGCCCTGTACGTGGAAACATGCATCCCTTTTTGTAATTCGGTTCATTCTTTTACTTCTGATTAAAAAAACATTCTCAGACCATTTTGGTATATTGGGTGAAATATAATACGTTATTAAAATTAATTTCACCCATTTCTTCTTATTTTACTTAATGTGGCTACTAGAAAATTTAAAATTATGCCTGAGGCTTGGACAATGATGTATTTCGAATAACTTATTTATTTTTTATTTGCACAAACCTTACAAAAGGGAATGTTGTCAGAAACATTGTAACCATTGCAGATTGACCAGTTTGATTTTGTCTAACTCTGAACTTCTTTAAGATAGACTCCAAGCTCTTTTTGATAGGTAAATAGCTTCAGAAGTTTGTATGGGTAAGGAATAGTCACTCCCCAACAAATCTTGATATTTCAGACCAAATTTACACAGGTGTTTATTTCTTAGATAAGCATTTATTCTAATGCAGGCCCCCCAAAGTTCATACACCCTCTTCTCTAGGTTCCATGAAGTCTCAGGTCTCTGATTTATGTGCTAAGGCAACCGTTTGCATGAAAAGCTCATTCATGGCAGGTGAGACAATGAGTCAGAATTTGGACATCATTATTGTCAGCATCAGACAATCCTGTATCTTCCTACACCAGTGGTCTTTTGTAGGAATAATAAAGGAACTCCTAAAAGTACAAACCAAACACCTCCCTGGAATCTAAACCCTATTAGTGCAAGGGTGGGGAATGTCTCAAAGTATCTTGGCTGTTCCACATACCTGTCTTAACTCTACTAATGCAAGGGTGGAGAGTTTTTGAAATATTTTAGCCAAATCACATATCTGCCTGTACAAATGAGAGCCTTTTGCTAACATTCATCATGCTTTTTAAAAAATTTTGTTATCATTAATCTACAATTACATGAGGAACATTATGTGTACTAGACTCCCCCCATCACCAAGTCCCTCCCACATACTCCATTACAGTCCATCAGCATAGTAAGATACTATAGAATCACTACTTGTCTTCTCTGTGTTATACAGCCCACCCAATGCCCCCCACACCACATTATGTCTACTAATAATAATGCCCCCCCTTTTTTTTCCCCTTTATCCCTCCCTTTCCACCCATCCACCCCAGTCCCTTTCCCTTTGGTAACTGTTAGTTCATTCTTGGGTTCTGTGAGTCTGCTGCTATTTTGTTCCTTCAGTTTTTTTCTTTGTTCTTTTACTCCACAGATGAGTGAAATCATTTGATACTTGTCTTTCTCCACCTGGCTTATTTCACTGAGCATAATACCCTCTAGCTCCATCCATGTTGTTGCAAATTGTAGGATTTGTTTTCTTCTTATGGCTGAATAATATTCCATTGTGTATATGTACCACATCTTCCCTATCCATTCATCTACTGGTGGACACTTGGGTTGCTTCCATTTCTTGGCTTTTGTAAATAGTGCTGTGATAAACATGCAGGTGCATATGTCTTTTTCAAACTGGGTTGCTGCATTCTTAGGGTAAATTTCTAGGAGTGGAATTCCTGGGTCAAATGGTATTTCTATTTTAGTTTTTTGAGGAACTTCCATACTGCTTTCCACAATGGTTGAACTAATTTACATTCCCACCAGCAGTGTAGGAAGGTTCTCCTTTCTCCACATCCTCACCAAACATTTCTTGTTTGTCTTTTGGATGGTGGCAATCCTTACTGGTGTGAGGTGATATCTCATTGTGGTTTTAATTTGCATATCTCTGATGATTAGCGATGTGGAGCATCTTTTCATGTCTCTGTTGGCCATCTGAATTTCTTCTTTGGAGAAGTGTCTGTTCAGATCCTGTGCCCACTTTTTAATTGGCTTATTTGCTTTTTATTTGTTGAGGTGTGTGAGCTCTTTGTATATTTTGGATGTCAACCCTTTATCAGATATGTCATTTATGAATATATTCTCCCATACTGTAGGATGCTTTCTGTTCTATTGGTGGTGTCCTTTGCTGTACAGAAGCTTTTCAGCTTGATATAGTCCCACTTGTTTATTTTTGCTTTTGTTTCCCTTGCCTGGGGAGATATGTTCATGAAGAAGTTGCTCATGTTTATGTCCAAGAGATTTTTGCCTATATTTTTTTCTAAGAGTTTTATGGTTTCATGACTTACATTCAGGTCTTTGATCCATTTTGAATTTACTTTTGTGTATGGGGTTAGACAGTGATCCAATTTCATTCTCTTGCATGTAGCTGCCCAGTTTTGCCAACACCTTCATCATGCTTTTTAAAGAGCTCCTTGATATGTCAATAAAAATTCACTTAGCAAAACCTCGGGTATTGGCAGGTGTTTATGGCAGAGGTGTTTGGGGAGAGTGGCTATCTTGAGGGGCCCAAGTAGTGCTTACCTATAATATTGCACTAAAACATTTAAATCAACTCCAGTCATCACAGGCCTTGTCTTATGAAGAGCACAAATAGTTCTTCAACATACTTAGTTTGTGCAAACAAGATCAATGAGATAAAAGTCAGTGAATTATCAAAATGTTCAGGGAGGCCATTGCATTTTGCAAGATACATAGAAAGTAAGATACATATCTTTACTTTTGTACATAGTCTTGGGCTAAGCGTCAACAGTCCTTGGGAGAAAACTATTAAAATGAAGGTTTCAGTGTTAAGGGAAAACTATTTCTTAATCTTAGAAACTCAACTCACAGATGATAAGATACAGAATAAAGATAGATGTAACTTAAAATTTAAGGTTATTGGCATGTAAATATGCCCTTTGTCCTGATCTTTCTAGATGGAGGTTTCATAACTCTGGCTCAGTTGACATTTGGACCGGGGAGTTCTTTGTGGTGTGAGGCTGTCCTGTGTGTTGTGGGATATTTAGCAGTGTCCCTGGCCACTACCCACTAGATGCCAGTAGCACCCTCCCCACCCGATGACCCAGTGGTGATAATTAAAAATGTCTCCAGATATTGCCAGGGAAGCAAAAATCACTCTCTATTGAGAAGTGTTGTTCTAGACCACATCCAGTGGACTAACCTAATGCCTTGGTAGACATGCAGAATCTCAAGATACCCTCCCAGACCTACTGAGCAAGAATCTGCATTTTAGTAAGTCCCTTGGGGGTCTGCGTGCATATACACTTGGCCAGCTTCAAACCCACGCACCTTGCCTCACTGTGCAGCCCCTCAGTCAGGTGTGTGCCTTACTCTCTTTCTCATTGCAGGAAGCTGATGAAGCCTTACTGCATAACCTGCACCTGCAGATTGAAGCCCAGTTTCTGCAGGATGACATCAGTGCGGTGAAGGACAGGTACAAAAAGGTAACCATGAACACCTGAAGCCCTTCCCTAGAAACCTAGTTTGAGTTTGGACAGACAAGTTCTGGGTACTTGTGGCTGAAAAATGAGTCAGTCAAAGGGGTTACTTTGTGTGCAGTGCCCCTGAACCTAGTGGGCAGTGGGCTGGTTGTGGGAAAGCACTTAGGGAGCTGGGTGCGAATGAGGAGGAGGCAACAGTGGGTGTGCCAGGGCTGGCGTTGCAAACTAATATCTGTGTAGTTTGTTACAATTGACAAAGGAATTTTATGTAGGTCCGTCTTGATTTTGCTACAGCCTGTCAATTGTTGCAGCTCAGAAAATGCAGAAAATACACATATTTTAGCTCTGCCTCTGAGCTAGTTAACTGAGAGAATGCATGGCATTCAAGATTCTCCCCACATGTGGTGCTCTGGCCTGCCCCTGCCCCCTCCAACTTCTCACAGGCCTCTCTTTGGGGGACCTTGGTGCCCTGAAAGATCACATCCTGGAACTGTGTGACAGTGGGTGAGTGGCCTAACTTCTCAGAGCATCTTCATCTTCAAAATGCAAATGCCAGCCTTCTGCACAGCTCTGTGTGTGGCAGACCTGTGAGCCTGGCCATGGTCCTGGGGCTGGCCTGTCCAGTGGGCTCTGGTGTCCACCCAACTACCAGTACTCTACTGTAGCTCTGCTGCTGGACACTATCCAGGCAGAGGAGGGCCTCTGTGCCTCAGAGGAGGCAGTGGGGAAGTGCTTCCTGCGAGCAGCCTCCAGTGACTCATGTGGTGCAAGCGAGCGCCAGCCCCCTCACCTGCTGTTCCGCACCAGCTCCCAGAGTTCCCCATGAGGGCCAAGCTCCAGGTGCCCACAGGGCTAACTCCACTGAGAACATCCTCCATGTCCGCCTTCCCTTCCCCGTCTCACTTCCCTGCTCTAATAATGTTTCCTGGCATCTTCACCTTCTCTCAGGGTCTGTATCTTAGTCCACTAGGGTTGCTATAACAAAGCACCACAGACTGGGTGGCTTCTAAGCAACAGGAATTTATTTCTCATGGTTCTGGAGGCCAGAACGTCAAGATAAGTTGCCAGCATGGCCCAGGTCTGGTGTGAGCCCTCTCCTCGGCTTGCAGGCAGCTGCCTTCTCACCGTGACCTCTCGGAGCTGTGTGTGGGGAGAGGCAAACTCTTTGGTGTCTCTTCTTAAAGAGCATTGATCCCATGGTGAGGGCCCCACCCTCATGATCACATCTAAACTTAATTATTTCCCAAAGGCCCCCCTCCAGATGTCACCCTCTTGTGGGTTTTGGGTCCAACGTGTGAATTTTGGAGGCACACAACATTCAATCTGCAACAGTTTGCTTCTGGGGAAACCTAGACTCAGGCAGTGTGACAATACAGGTGACACTTGGTTCAACCTGGAGCGTGGTGAGCACTCAGCAAACATCAGAGTCTCTTCCTGCTGGGTGTATGCCCGCTTCAGCACAAGGGGGACCCTTTTCTCTGCACTGAAGGAAGTCCCTCCCTTTGGCATTCCTCCAGCTCTCGGTCAGGCTTGGCCTTTTTCCTCCTCCTCACCTGCCTTCTTGCCGCTGCTGTATTTTGCAGGAATCTTGGGGGCAGTGCCTGGGGGGCAGTTTCTAACAGCTCAGAGCATTCTTCAGAGCCGTTTAGGACACTAAGGATGATAGTGTAAACACACACCAGGAAGGTTTGTGCTTATCTCCTTGGATTCCAGCAACAGCCCCATGAGATAGTGTCTTAGGTCAGGGTCCCTATCATCAGGGCCTGAAGGTGTGACCTTTGTGTGACTCCTGTATTAGTGGAGGGCATGCCAGAGAGGGGATAGGGGCTGGGCAAGGGTGTGGGGTTAGCTGGGTATAGCCTTAGCCTGATCCTGTGGGGGCCGGGGTGGGGAGTTCCGGAATGTGAATCACACCACCTTGAGTTGGTCCCACCTTGAGATAAGAGGGTTGGTCTTCTGTACTTAAGTTATTGGTTCAGGTTGGGGATGAAGCAAGATTCGGGGGGTTGCATAGCTTCCTGGACAGGATGGCCATTGTCTGGCCAAAGGCAGGTCTCTGGAGAGGGGCAGCTGTGCTACCTCATCAGCCTCCACACAGGGCTGGTCACAGGGGCTCTGCTGGTAAGGGGCTCAGGCATGCCCTGCAGATTGTTAATCCTCTTTTATAGAAGAACCTGAATTTTTTTTAAGTTGAAGTATAGTTAATACACAATCTTATATTGGTTTCAAGTATACAACACAGTGGTTCAACAGTTACCCGTATTATTAAATCCTCACCCCTGCTAGTGCAGTTACTATCTGTTAACATAGGAAGATGCTACAGAGTCATTGGCTGTATTCTCCATGCTGCACTACCATCCCTGTGGCCAACTTATATTATGATTGAGAATTTTTGTGCCCCTTTTATCCCCCTCCCCTTCCCGCTCCCTCTCTACCCACCCCAGGCCCTCCCCCATGGTAACCACCAGTCTCTTCTCAGTGTCTATGAGTTACTGCTGTTTTGTAGAAGAACTTGAATTTTAGGAGGTTTAAATTATTTGCCCAAGGCTGCACACAGGTAGCAGGTGATTTAATATGGAACCAACTGACAAAAGCCCATCCTTTGAACTGACCAAAAGCCCACCCTGTTCTGGGGTCAGGAAGGGGCCTTTGTACCCTCTGGGATCAGTGGATCTCCCATCTCTGCTTTTCTCTCGTATCTCTGCCATGCAGGGCTCTATGACAATAGCAGTAAGACATCCATGTAACTGAAGGGAAATGTCAAAGTAAACCAAGCCTGTTTTTGCTCATTTGCCCTGCTGTTTTGGGGAAGATTAAAGGAGATGTGAAGTGCCCCCTGCATAGAGCAGAGGCTGTCCTGTTTTTGATAGTGGAACACATGAAAGCATCCAGCCCTGGGGTCATCTAAGACTAGAGGCAAAATCTCAAGCAGCTTAAGTTTTAATAAGAGCACTTTCCTTCCTCTAACAGAATCTTCTGGAAATTCAGACCTATGTCAGTATCCTGCAGCAGATTGTTCAGACCACCCCTCAAGCTGTTACAAGTGGGATGAGGGAGGTAAGAATTGGATCCCAGGCTATAGCAAAAGCATATCTGGGGATATTTCCTACACCCCCACAGGCCTCGTTAACAGAGACCAGGAGAGGGTGGCAGATCAGACTGCGTGGGGGAGAGGGTGGTGGTGCGGTGGGTTTACTCGCCCCTATGCCCACTTTGCATTCATATTGGAAGTGTATACTTCTTTTACTCAGACTTTGAATGCTGGTATTTAGTCATCTTAGGACTTAACCAGTGTCCGTGACAATTTCTTAGGTATTTCCTCTTGAGCATTCCAGGCTATTTTTCATGCATAGTTTGTAAGAAATTGCCAGACTGTTTCCCAAAGTGGGTAGCCCTGTTTCATCCTTACCAGCAATGTAGGAGAGTTTCTGTTGCTTTGTGTCCCTGCCATTGCTGGGCACATCAGGTTTTTATTTTGTTTTTGCTTCTTACTCTTTTAATAGGCATGGTTTTAACTGCATTCTTTAATGACTAGTGACATTGAGCATCTTTTCATGTGCTTATTTGCCATCTATAAATCTTCTTCATTGGACTATCTGCTCAGATCTTTTTTCCATTTTAAAAATTGGGTTGTTTTCTTATTCCCTTACCAATTTGACCATTCATTTTGAATACTAAGAGCTTCACATAATTAATGACTGTATTTTCAAGGTTGGGCTCTGGTAACGATTACACGAGTTTGTGGCATGAAAGCAATTGGGAAGAGAGAGAGATTATTGAGGCTGATTTTTTAAAAGGGAAAATTTGGATGTAAAACATTGTTTCGGATGTAATGTTCCACATTCCTTTTCACTTAACTCTCCAGCTGCCCAACAGGATATCAGCATAGTTTTTTCCTAATGTTGTTTATGGGATTTTGTGATACATGGCTATGACAAGTATAGGGATAAACTGAAAAGGATGCAGAGTAAAACAAAAATGTCACTGTGTCTCTTCTCCAGAGGCTGGTACAGTTTGGGTGGACTGGTCAACTGATAAGATTCTGGGTGTTTTGCAAGGATGACATAAGACAATGGTTCTCAATGTGATGTCACTTGGAATTGCCTAGGAGTCTGCCCAGACCAGCCCTAAGTCAATTGTTCAGCTGCCTGGAAGGTGGAGGGAACCCTGACTCAGTCATTTTCAAGCTCCTGGGCCAGTGTGCTGATGAGCTGCAGAACCAGTGGCCTAGGGCAGCTAGCTGCTGGAGCCTTTTTGTTTTACTTTTTTATATCAAGGCTAAAGAAACCCCCAATTTTGCTTTAGAAGACACTTTTAAACCTTGCCAAGTAATATCTAAGAGGTAGGAAAGTTACTTTCTTTGGTCTTCATGGGGATATCCTTGTCCAGATTGCCCACCAATGACCATTTCAGGTGCTTGAAGCCCTTAATTCATGGAACAGATGTTTCTGCAAAGTCCTAAAATAGCTGTTTCTAAATCCTTCATTTTCTTTGTCAGAGATTTCTTTGTAGATACTTATTTTTATTTTGCAAACTCATTTTCCCCTTGTAATTCAAAGGTATTTTATACCATAGTACACTTTTTAAATCATATCATCTGTTCCTTTTTAAAAAAATTCTTCTGAGTTATAAGAGTATAGCGGCCATCTGGACTGACTTGGAGAGCACCAGTGTCAGCCCTCCTTGGCATCATGGGGAGCTGGTGAGAAACGGGGAGTCTCCAGCTAGACCACAGACCCACTAAGTCAGAATACACACTTTAACAGGACTCCCGGGACTCATGTGAATGTTAAAGATGGAGAAGCACAGATTTAGAAAGGATCATGTTCTTTATTAATCTCAGCTTAAAAATTGTACACTTGAGGTAGATGGTCACTTTCAGGTTTGTTTCATTGGCTCCTGTTACTGTCCTAGAAAATGTGTACATTGCCTTTGCACAAATGAGGATATACTTAGTGGTGTCCCCTAGGAATACAGGGCCACTCTGTAATGTGTCAGTAAAGCACAGTGTCAGTGGGAGCATATCTGTGGTCAAGTAGAGCTGGGCTTATTCACTGCAGCAGGGAAGGTGTACACCAGGGGCCATATATGGAGGGCATGAGATGGGAGCTGGGCGTGTGCTAGGTGACCTGGGGGAAGGGGCCAAGTCTGCAGAGCCCTGCTCTGGGCTGGGTGCTCTCAGCAGGGACTGGTCCTACAACTGAGCACTCTGATAATTTGTACAGAAAAGGTAGAGGGACGAGACTGCAGCTGAAGCTGTACTTGATAATTAAGAGGCATCACTTGTGTTAGTGAGGAGAGGGGACATTTGCTTATTTTTGTGGTTGTGCAGTGGCCTCTTGGTCTGTGTTCAGACATGATTACAGAACGGTCTGTCTGTCTCGTTCCCGCAGAGTGACATCCTCACACGCTGGGAACGGCATCATTTGTAAGTTTGTAGGTAGGGAGCATCATGGCCTGGCGGTTAGTGCTGGTCACCAGCTGACAGCAGCCGTGCTGTCTTCCTTCCTCTTCAGTAAGTATCTGGTGGTCTGCTGTGCACGAGGCATGCCAGAGGTTCCTTGAGGTCGGCTGTGAGGAGGATGCAAGAGGAGTTGGTTTGGGCAAGAAGGATGGAGAGGGCCAGGTGTGTAGGTTGGGCCCTGGGGGGAGATGGTGTGATGTGTTTGTGTTGTGAGTGTTCCATCCCAGTGCTGCAGGTCTAGAATTTGCAAAGTGTGATATGTATGCACGTCTTCCATATGCTGGTACCCAGGGACATGAGTCCTTCTTCCTCCAGCCACTCTTTTGTCTGTTCCTTCGAGGCAGGAGGTAGGGCCTGGGACACAGAAACCAGACAGAACAGAGGGAGAAGTAGACTGAGACACAGGGAGACAGACAGAGGCTGAGAGGAAACATGCCTCCAGGCACCCAGAAGTCCAGTGGTAAGCAGGCACAGAAAGACACGCACGCAACTGACAGGTCCTTCTGCAGGTTCATCTAGGGTCCTGCTTTCTCCACGGGGTTGGGCTGTAGACCCCAATCCACTCTCCCTTTCTGTACACATGTTTGTCTTGGCTCTGGCATTCTCTGTGTCTGCACTTCAGCCACTTTGCAAAGTGTTAGAAGCAAAGGCTGCCTTAAACGTGTGGCATGCCCACTGTTTGGGTGGCCTGGTGGTGAGGCAGGGGCTTGTGTCAGAAGGTGGCGCTCTTGAGCAGCCTGGTTTGGTGAAGTGGTCTGGAAGGTTTTGAACAGTGGAGAGACTGGATGGGAAAGGGCACTGGCTCGGCAGACTGTGGAGCCACCATGGGGCCTCATTCCATGTTGTTTCACAGAGTTGATCGGATGGTGCAGCCACCTCATCAGGGTCCCCATCTGCCTCGGGTCCTTTGGAGGCCGATGGCTCCTGCGTCATGCAGCAGCTGTGATGTCTCAGCACAGCTGATAGCTGGGGTCTCAGACTGACTGTGCCGTTTGCAGGGACAGAGAACAGAGTCTGACAAGTCTGTATTCTGACTTCTCCTTTTCACAAAGGGGAAAGTGCCTTGTCCAGAGGACATTAGCCAGTTTGTGGTGCAACCAGGTCTAAACTGTGGGTCTCCTGACACTGTCTCCATACTTTAAAGTTAGGGCATTAATGGTTCAGCCTGTGAAGCAAAAAGGCTGGAAGAGTGGCTACAGTGGGCCCGTCCATGTCGACTCTGGCTGCTGTCCCAAGTGCCACACACAGGGCAGCTCAAACAACAGAAATTTATTTCTCACAGTTTGGGAGGCTGGAAGTACAAGACCAGGCTGCCAGCAGGTTCAGCTCTCCGGGAGCACTTGCCACCTGCTTGTGGCCAGCTGCCTCTTGCTGTGTCTTCACATGGCCTTTCCTTGGTGCACCCTTGGAGAGATCCTCTCTTTCACGGACGTTAATCCCACCATGAGGGGCACCTGTTGCCCCCTATGTTCTCATCGAGGCCTAATCACCTCCTGAGAGCGCCAGTTGCCCATGCTTCCTGTAGGGCTCTGGCATCAGCATATGAATTTGTGGGGTGGGGGCGACACAAACATGCAAACATAACAGGGCCCCACACCTTCTTTGCCTCTTTTTTCTTTGGGTTTCTTCCTACAGCAACAGCATGTAAGTGCTGAGTCTGGCTTTCTTTGTGCAGGAGAAGCTCCTGCGGGAACGGGAAGCTGCCACCCTGCAGAGTCGGCTGGAGGAGGGCCGGGAGGCACTGTCTGGGCTGCAGGCGCAGAAAGCCGAGCTGCAGGCTCAGGTACTCTCCGCACCCTTGTGTCCGCCGCTTGCTTTTGGATGTTCCCACCCCACACACGAATCAGGTTTTACAACACAATTTATTCAGGTGACATGTGTATGCAGAAAAATGCATAAGTATCCATCCTGGTGAATTCTCACAAACTCAACAAATTTGTGTGCCCGCATTCAGCCAGACATGGAACATTCTCACCAGGGTGACCAGCTGTCTTGCTTTTACTGAGGGTTTCCCAGGATGCAGGACTTTCCTACACAGATGGGAATGTCCAGGGCAAATGGGGACAGCAGGTCACTGTAATTCCTGGTGCCCCAGAGGTTCACCACTGGCCCCATTTGGGCTGCCTCCCCTCCCGCATCAAGGGTAAGGCTATCCTGACATTCTCATGATCAATCCGTTTTACCCAGCTTAACCTTGTTTTTAAAAAATAAGGAGAAGTGGACATAAATGGGGACTCTTTTCCTACACCTGCTCAAATACAGGCTTCCCGTTTCTCATCTGATGATCTAAAATCTCTCCTTTGGAATTTTATTACAAATTCTTGGGAAGAGTGGTCATGGCAGGATTTGCCTCTGCTTAGAATTTTGTTAGCTTAAAGCTCTCATTTGCACCCCACTCCCTTTTTTTGGTGAAGCTTAATTTGAAAACTCAGCAGCAAAGCTTGGTCCTCCTTCCCTGGCCTGCCTTCTTGGTCAGTGAGCTTCGTGACTCACCCCCTGCCAGGTCCCTTCCTAGTTTTGCTCCTTGCAGTTTTCTTTCTCTCATTATGATACCCCTGGCCTTTCTCATGGGGGACATCTGGTTAAAATGCTGTACCTTCATGTGGCTGAATAACCACATTTCCCAAATCCAAAAACAGACATTCGGTTTGACAAGTACACATAACGGACAAGAGAATAAAACACTGACAAAATCAGGCTCTCTAGAGGACCTAGAACATTTATATGTGAAATGTTGCACTGTCTCTGTCCCACCAATGCCTACAAAGTCAAAAACCGTTAGAGCCACAGTGAGACAGGGGGCTCTTCATGGGTATTCAGTGCTCTCCAAATCTGCCCAGGACCCCATTCAGGGACTTTCAAGCTCAACAATCTGACTTCCAGTCCTGCCACGTATCACGCAGACCTCACTCCACAGCGGTTCTCAGGGCCACGGAAAGCAGTCTGGGGGCTGGTGGTTTACCCTGAGGTAAAGATCAAGACATTCCATAGTGTCTGTAAAACTTGTCCTTCTCTTGTGACAATCCATAGATCAGGGAGCAGATGCACTGTTTTGATGACTTGATTGTGTGTTGTCTCCTCTGAGGCCCTGAAAGGATAGAGAGAGGGCGAGTGTGTGTGTGTGTGTGTGTGTGTGTGTGTGTGTGTGTGTACATATGTGAATGTATGCATGTGTGTGGATAAGTGTGGACATGTAGATGTGTGTACATGTGTGCATGTATAGGTGTATATATATGCCTGAGCACGTATATATATATATATACACATGTGTATGTGTGTACGTGTGTGCATGTATAGGTGTATATTTGTGCATAAGCATATATGTATATATACATGGGTATGTGTGTACGTATGTGTACATGTGCGTGTGTGTGTGAGAATGAGGGGCTGGGGAAGTGGGTGCAGGCCTAGTCATGTTCCTAGAGATGGGTGTTTTCCAAACCACCAGTTACAGCTCATTACTGGGTTGTAAGATGAATGCAGCAGAGTCAACTGTCGTCAAAAAGAAGAAATTGACACCACCAGACTAAGACAGAATAAGAAATAACAGAGGGCATGGTAAGCGAAGGTAGGATTTGTTCTGTGAACCTCTGTGTTAAATATAAATGTACATGTGTTTAAATGTGCCCTCTGTTCACCTGCACATGCACATTGTATGATGTGTGTGGTTTGCGATGTATAATGTGACTTCTTCTGTGGCCATGCAACAAAGTTGAAAAGTCCTGCCCTGAATTCTGAGAAAGATGAAAGAGCCCAGCCTGATGTGGTAAATTCCAATTCCAGGGCAAAAAGAACATTTCTCCATGTGCATATATGTATTTGTTGAATATAAAAATAAGACTTTTGATAAAGGAGTAACCTAGTTTCTGAGAATATGAAATAAAACATTACTTGGCCACCCATCCCCTGTAGTTGCTGCAGAAGGACTAACTGGTCTTACTCTGATGTCACTCTCTCTCTAAGTTGGGAGTTGTCACTTATGTACCAATGGCCCCCACCTCCTTGGCAGTCTGGTGAAATCCATGGACCCCTTTTCAGAAAAATGTACAGGCATATAATAAAAATAAAGTACATATAATTAAAAGGAAATCAATTGTATTGAAATAGTTACAAAGTATTACCAAGTTATTTCCTCTATAATGCAAGTTAATATTAAAATATAACAGTGGGCCAAATAAAACACAAGTTATATTAGTTTTCTCTCACTGCCGTATTGAGTTCCTATAAACGCAGGGCCTTACAACAGCCCTGCTTTACCCACAGTTCTGTAGGTGAGGAGTCTGGGCAGGATCAGCTGGTTTCTCTGCTCTGGGTCCCACAAGGCTGAAGTAAAGGTGTCTGCCGCCTGGGTTCTCTTAGCTGGAGGCTCTGGGGGAAGAATCGTCTTCCAGTCCCATTCAAGTTGTTGGCAGAATTCAGCTCTGTGTTCAGGTAGGACCGAGCACCCCATTTCTTTGCTGGCTGTTGGCTGGCAGTTATTCACAAGGCAGCCCACGTTCCTCAGTGTACGGCCCTTTCCATCCTCAAAGCCAGCAAGAGCATATTGAATCTTTCTAGAGCATCTAATCCCTCCAACTTCTGCTTTGGGCCCTTGTGATTAGGAATAATCTAAATAATCTCCCGATTTTTTTAAGGTCAACTGATTAAGAACCTTAATTACATCTGCAAAGTTTTGCTGTGTAACAACATACTTACAGGAATAAAACTTTGGGCAAAAGTCATAGGGACCAAATATGTTCCTATTTAGCTTACTGATTCCAAGAGTTTCTGATTCAGTAGGTCTGGGGTGTGACCCAAGAGTTTGCATTTCTCAATTTCCAAATGCTGCTGCTGGTCCAGGAACCATACTTAGAGAACCCTGGTGCTGAGGTGGGTCCCAGGCTGGCTCAGAATGTTCTATATCTGGCCCACCTGAGTCCCTGCCTTGGGCCCTTCACAGACTTATTCAGGAGGTGTGCATGGCTGGTGTTTTGCTGATTTTAAAAGATGTAGCTAAGCTGAGAGCTCCACGGGAGATCTGGCAGCAGAGCCCTTCAGCCGCCCCAGTGCTGAGGATATGGTCAGGGGCATGAGGGGGAGATCCTAGAGCCTGAGGGTCTGGCCTGGCAGGGCTTTGGCAGCTGGTTCTGCCTGTTGTCGGTGCATGTGATGCTTCCAGAACCCTCCATCTCTGGGTCCTCAGGGTGAACCAGTAGCATAATCATCGCCTGGGAACTTGTCAGAAATGCACATTCGCGGGCCCATCTCAGACCTACTGAATCCAGAGCTTGGGGGTTGGGGGTTGGGGGTGGGGTGGGGAGGGGCGGAGGGGCAGCCTTCTTGTTCTAACAACCCCTGCGGGTGGTTCTGCCGTGCCGGTTTGAGAACACTAGTGCACAGGATGGTGGGACCAGCACCCATGATTGGAGCTGAGCACAGACCATGCATGAGACCCCTGGGGATGGCACTTACTCTAGGTGGAAGGGAAAGGACAGGCGCTTCTGGCTCCCCCAATTGTACTGACAGAGCGCTTCTCTGACAGGAAAGGGGAAAATGTCCTCTATCACTTGGAAAGTGTGAACCTCCCAGGTATCATTTCTCATTACATTCGCTTAGTACCATCTAGTGGTAGGTTTTGGTAAAACTGTAATTCATGAAGAGTACTTGATTTCTTCATTTACTTTTAAAAAAAGACCTTGGACCTCAGAGAGTCTGGGGGCTGAAGCGGGAGGCCAATCCTCCAGATGGGACTCAGTGTGAAGCACCGTGCTGGGTTTCTGTCGACCTAGGCTGTGCAAAGGTGAGCACGGCAGCTGTGTTGGGACACTTACTCCATAACCTCTACTGCCAAACATCCTGGGAGGTTCGGGGTATCCTGAGCAGAGCGTGCTGTGCTGCTGCCTTCAGCTGCCCACAGCCCAGTGGGGAAATGGACATAAACCAGGCGATCTGAATGGTCCAGGCAGAAAATAACAGCACCTGTGCTCAGGATGGAGTTCAGCTGCGGCACAGTCCACCCCTTCTGCCTGCCTCTGCCCAGGATCCACGCAGCTGCTCCCTTCCAGGAAACCCAGAGCTGTCCGTGCTTTGTTCTCTCTTCTCTTCCTCCGCTGACCCCTCCTGCGGTTTCTGCACCTTCCCCTTTTGCTCGTCACGCCCCTTTCCTTCAGCGCCCAGGGCTGGCCCTGCTGCCTCCTCCAAGCCTTCTCTGCCTGCTCCAGACCCGGGCCTCTCCGTGTGTTCTCCGCTTCTGTGACCGGGCTGATCTGTGTCTCAGTCTCTCACAGCTTGGCTGGTGCAGGATGAAGTCTGAGCTGAGGTTGCCCACACCACACACTGTGTTTGCCTCCTTTGAGCTGATGAAAGTGGGGCTCCTACTATTTTGAATTTCATCCTACTTCTGATGAAAACTTTAAATTGTTGACCTATAAAAATCACACTGATGCAGACCTAAGTCCAGTTTTGTAAACCTGGCCAGCATTTTGCTGGATGCTCAGCAGTTTTGCTGGAAAACTCAGGCAGAGTTGCACTCAGGACCAGTGCCATTCGAGGGTTGGAAGGGGCCTCATAGGCACCCAGGGCGCCCTGCCCAGGCAGGTGTCTCTCCCACAGATGCTGTCAGAGGACAGCCCCCAGCCACCACCACCAGCAAAATGCCAACTCAGGAGCCATAAAAGATCATACTTGCCCTGTAGGGTCAAAAGATTATAGATGACATTTTCCTTGTTTCTGATTTCCCAGTTTGTGATGACCCTGTGCTGTCCCCTTTATGGTTTAAAAGTTTTCCCAGTGACATGCTCAGGGAGGGGTCTGTGTGGGGTCACATGGAGTCCATGAGGTCTTCAGTGAGAACAGGCTGTCATGCTTGCCTGTTGACACATGGGAATGGGCAGTTTTCCAGGGGCTTGGATAGTGTGTGTGCATGTGTGTGTGTGTGTGTGCCCTGCTCACCAGCACTGGGAGGAGGCTGAGGCAGAGGGTTCATAGTTTCAGGAGGTGCCTCAGACCCTGTGCAGGTGGGTCTGAAATCTGCTTCGGTATTTATGGATAGGTCACTGTGCTTGTGTGTCTCAGTTTCTTCATCTGTAAAGTGGGAATACAAGCAGTCCTTCCCCGTAAGGTTGTTGTGTGGCTGACAAGCCATTTTACTCACCAGCATAAACCGTTACTCCCACTCCAGGCTGAGAAACTCACACTGGAAGGGCACACACACAAAGTTCTCTTCATACATAATCTTTGCCTTCAGTCTTTGTTTTGAAACACTTCAAACATCCAAAAGTGCGAGAATAGGCTGCTGAGCCCCCATGTCCCTACCCTCTAGCACATGGTCCCTTTTACCTCACCCACGTAACAATAGCCCCCCATCCTGTGATTCCAAAGCAATCCCAACACCATATCATCCTATGCAGCAGTATTTCAACTTAAGTATATCTCTTAAGGATGGGGGTCTTTTTATACAATGCAAGGCCATTAGCCTACCTTTAAAAATTAACAATAATTCTTTTCAGTATCACCAAATGTCCAGTTGGGAATCACATTTCCAACTATCTTTCTGACTAAAGTGATATTTACATACAGGAAATGTCACCCTTTGCAATGCAGAGTACATCTGTTTGACAAATGCATGCAGTGTCGTAGCACCCCACATTCAAGACACAGGACCATCACCTCACCCCCCAAACTCCCCTGAGCTGCCCTTTGTGGGTAATTCCTCCCAGCCTGCCCCCAGCCCCTGGCAATCGCTGATCTGGTTACTGTTCCTCTGGTTTTATCTCTTCCAGATTGCCCTATAAAGGGAGTCGGTCAGTACATAGACTTTCCTATAATTTCTTTCTTTCAACTTTATTTGAATTGGGATCCAAAGAAGGTCCACACACTGTAATTGGATTATGTGTCTCTTAAGTCTCTTTAACCTTTAGGTTCTCCTCTATCTCCTTTTTCTTCCCCTTGAAATTTGCGGTATATACATACTTTTAAAACCTGGGTGCTGAGGGCACCAGCTCTTTCCTGTACACTTGAGAGAAAGCTCTGTTTTGATAAAAGGCAGTTGTGTTGGCCTTTCACATCCTCCCTGCTGCCTGGGTGACACTGGGGCCCCTAGGCTCTGTGCTGGACCCTGGCCATGCCAGCATCCCCCAGGCTTAGTTCTGCTTCACAGAAAAGGGGAGATGCATCCATTCCTGGATGGCTTCTTGCCCCCTGAGATTCGAGCCTCAAAGGAGCCTTTTAGATTCCTTATTTCTTTGAAGCATGCCCCAGAGTGTGTGAACACTGTTGTGTGTAAGAATATGTGGCTACACCAGGAATTAATGGGTACACCGTGGTATTTGACATTACAGGTATCTGAGTTGAGATTTTTTTTTAATTGAGGAAACAGAAACCTCATCAAAATAGCTTCAGCAGAAAAGGCACTCTGGTTTTATTTTGAAATAATTTTAGACTTCTAAAAAGGTGCAGAAAGTGCAGAGGTTTATTACATGCTCTTCACCCAGCTTTTGTTAGCCTCTTAATAACCACAGTACAATTATTGAAACCAGGAATGAACGATGATGTCATTCAAGCAATACTGACTGAAATTTCACCAGTTACCCCACTAATGCTTTTTCTGGTTCTGGATCCCACTTGTGCTTAGATATGTCTTCTTTGTCTCCTCCAATCTCGGACAGTCCCCGTCTTTGACTTTGAAGACCAGTTGTTTCATGGAATGCCCCTCCGTTTGGGCTTCCCTGATGTTTTCTCAGGATCAGGGGAGGACAGGTCTGTGGCAGGAACCCCATGGGGGTGATGTGTCCTTGGTGAATCTGGCCAGGAGAGCACCACGTGGGCAGGTCTTTATTCTGCTGGTGTAACTAGGCCGCTTGATTAAGATGATGTCTGCCAGGTTTCTCCACTGTAAAGATAGTATTTTTTTCCCTAAAGGAGCAGAATACAGAAGGTAGTTTATGAAATTTGAGTGCAGGGTGTGAGGCAGGAACCAGGAGCCAGGATCCGAGGCAGCAGCTTCCTCTCTCTCTGTGTCCCTCTTTCCCTACAGGCTCTCCCATCTGTTTGTCTTTGCTCTTTGGCTTTATTTCTCTGCTTCTCTGAACAATTGCCTTTCTCAGCTTCTCTGTGCACATTAGAAAGATTGTCACTCTGAAGTGGCTGCCTCAGACCGGCCACCAACTGTTGTTCTGAAATTTTTTTCCAGATTCCCCGGAGAGGAAGCATGTGGTAGGCCAGGCTTACCCAGGCCCAGACCTGGTTCTGTAGCTCTGCTAGGGAGAGCAGGGTACCACCACGGCCGGGACCCCTCTGTGAGTGAGGTAGTGCAATCATCAGACAAGGGGTGGGTGATGGGGCTGGCAAGGTCTTCCCCAAGTGTTGAGTGTATGTGCCCTTCTCCTTTCCCTCCACCAGCTCCCTTCTTCCTTCCCTCCCTCTTTCCCTCCCTCCCTCCCTCCCTCTTTCCCTCCTTCTTTCCTTCCCTCCCTCCCTCCCTCCTTCCCTCCCTCCCTCCTTCCCTCCTTCCTTCCTTCCTTCCTTCCCTCCTTCCCTCCCTCCCTCCCTCCCTCC